TAAAGTTATTAAATCTTAAAAAGTATAATTTAGTAATTAATAAAAGAAGATAGGTAAAGATAAGTAATAATAGGTTAAGATAGGTAGAAATAGGCAAAGATAAGTAAAGATAGGCTAGAATAGGTAAAGATAGGCTAAGATAGGTAAAGATAGGCTAAGATAGGTAAAGATAGCTAAAGAATAAGTATAGTTATAAGTAGATCTTACTGTTTAGATTTTACTATATACGCTAAGTGTTAGCGCGTGTGTATAGACTATAATAGTAGAGATTTAACAGTAAAATTAGTATATCTAGTTATATTAGAGAAGATAGAGTAATAAAAGTACTATATTTTATAATATAAAACTATTCTAGTTCTTAAATTTATAAAATTTAATAATTTAGCTAAGTTATAGTATACCTAGGTTTCTTAGTATTTAAAAGCTAAGAGAGGTAGAAAAAACCTTAAATAGGCTTAGTATAGGTTCTTAGCTCTACTAAACCTAATACTAAAGTACACTAGTATAAGAACTAGAAAGAGAGAAAATAAAGTAATAGAAGTACTATATTTTATAATATAAAACTATTCTAGCTCTTAGATTTATAAAATTTAATAGTTTAGCTAAGTTATAGTATACCTAGGTTTCTTAGTGTTTAAACAGAAATAGGGTCTAGCTCTAACCCTTAGTACCTAATACTAAATCTTACTAGGTTAGAAGTAGACTTTTATATCTTAACTTCTACCTTTTAACTTATATATTTTACTAGGTTAAGAAGAGACTTCTATATCTTACCTTTTAAATTTTACCTAGTTAAAAGTAGACTTTTATATCTTACCTTTTAAATTTTACTAGGTTAGAAGTAGACTTTTATATCTTAACTTTTAAATTTTACCTAGTTAAAAGTAGACTTTTATATCTTAACTTTTAAATTTTATACTAGTAATATATATTATATATATACCTATTCTATAAGGATTTTAAACTAAAATCTCTAATCCTAATATATATAGGTAATAGTAAGAAGCCTATACTTAGTACTAGTTTTAGAAAGTACTTTACCTACTTCTTCTACTATAGAAATACTAGTATACCTACTATATATTAGAATAAAATCTAGTAGCCTTTCTTAAAGTTTCTAATTAGTATTAATATAGTACTCTTTAATAGCTAGGAAACTAAGGTAATTACTTATAGACTAACTATCTAATATAATTAAGATTTTAGTTATTATACTAAGATTATAGAGAATAAATTTCCTTACTTTATAGTATTTATTATAAAAGTTATACTAGAATTTATAATAGCTAATTATTATAGACTCTAGTTATAGGAATTAAATAAAGTAATTAAATAATAGCTATTTAATTATTTAGAAGAATAAATTACTATTAATAACTAGCTATATAAGCTCTTTTTTAAAGTCTAAAGTAGAATATAAAAGAAAAGAATTATAAGTTCTTTTTTTACTAAGTAGAGTAAACTAATTAAGAAGCGTTAATAGGTATAAGTATATAGAAATAATAGTAAACTTATAGCTCCTTAAGTTTAGATAATTAAGTAAGTATTTTATTCTAATAGTCTTTTTAGCTAATAGGTATTAAAGTATAAGGTTGTTATTAAGGTAGTATATATATAAATAACAATTTATAGAGTCTATAGCCTTACTAAAATATAGCTATACTTTACTATAGTATATAGCAGAGTTCTAATATAGATAACTAGTTATAAAGTTAATAGCCTATTTAGTCCTACTCTACTACTTATTCTAGGTTAAAAGTATATTTTTATTATTATTATTCTGCTCTATTACTATAGGTAGGTATTTAATAAGTTTTAGGTTTAATTTTTCTCTACCTTTAATAATCTAGAAAGCAGTTAACCTTAATACATAAAGGCTAGGTAGTAGCTTATAGAATTATTAGACTTCTTAAATAGGCTTAGGTAATAGGTTAATTATATATCTAGTAGTATTAATTAATATAGTAAGAGAGAACTATAATAAAAAGCTATAATAAAAACTAGAATAAACTTATAGTAATCTTATTATTATATATAATTCTTACTTTAACTATAAAACTTTAAGTCTTTACTCTAATAATAACGTAAACTAAGAAGATTAAACTAATTATTAGAGGTTAGTAAAATACTAAGTTAAATACCTTATAGCTAGTACTTTATATCTACTTTACTATTAGGTTATTTTATCTAAGTTACTATTTAAAGAATATTATAAGTTTTAAGTTATATTATTATATATAACAATTAGCTAATATTACTGCTATCTAACCTAAGCTTTTAACTTTAGTATTATTATTTAAAAAGCCTTTAAAGTCTGTAAAGCCTTTAAAATTAGTTTTATTATTATACTTATTAATACCCTTATACTTATTTTTACTCTAGTTATAGTATTTATTAATTTCTAAATTAATATTAACCTTTTCTTTATACTTATTACTATTATTTTATTAAATATATAGGAAATTACTACGTAAAGCAGAGATATTTACGCCTAGGAGTTTATAAATAGGTATAGGTTTAAGTTACTTATTACTATTAGTATATAAATATAATAAAGGTATATATTAAACTTATAACTAATTTTTACTAGTTACTATTACTAATTCTTCTACTATAAGCCTAGTAATAAAGGCTTACTACTTTTCTTTTATACCCTTACTCTTAAAAGATTAGCTATTTAACTTTACTAATTCTTTTTTATAGGTATTATATAAAATCTATTTAAAGGTACTACTAGTACTAAATAGGTATAGTTAGGTATAAGATTAAGGTTTAGTACTTATACTACTCTAGCCTACTTAAGTAACCTTTTACAGAACTTATTAATATTAGTATATATTAACTTTCTAGTATAAATCTTTCTATTTTTTATAAACTTTATTAAGCTTAGTCTCTAACTAATTAGCTAAAGTTTATTAGTAAGATTATATAATAAATAACTATATTAACTTACTACTCTTTTAATTATTAAAGTAATCTTATACTAGCTCTTTAAGTTTTTTCTTAAAATACTTTACCTACTTATTTTTACTTATAGCTATATATTAATTTATCTTTTTAAGTTACTAGTTAAGCTAATACTTTATAGTATAATCTATAGCTTTAGTAGTAAAAAGCACTTTTTCTTCTTTACTAAGTAGAGTAGTTTAGTTTCTTTAGGTAATAGTATAATTACTATTACTAAGATTACCTATAAATAGTTTTCTAAAATTTATTAAGTAACCTTTTTAAGTACTAGCTTAACTATATTATATAAGAATATTTTAGACTTTATACTTCTTATAATTAAACTTCTATATAAGTAAGTATTTACTATAATAAATAAATATATTTAATACCTTAGTTAAATTAAACTACTTCTAATACTTAAAACCTATTAGAGAGTTATTTTCTAGAGCTAGTAGTAGGCTTTTTAGAATATTATTAGGCTCTTTCTTAATAGTATCTATTACGTATTATATAATTAATATCTATAATAATATAGTATAGGTATAGTTATTAAGTTAGAGTAGGTAGTAGGTTTTAAATAGAAAACTTAAGGTAAGAAAGTATAGGTAGCCTATATATATATATTACCTACTTAGCGTAAATAGTAAATTTTTACTTACTTTTACTACTTATTATTTTTAAAACTTTAATAAGCTTATTCTACTATTATTATACTTTTAATAATACTTAATTATTATATACTTTAATTATATTATCTAAAGTTTACTTTTCTATAATAGCTAGAATAAGAAAACCTAAGCTAAATACTACTACTACTAAGTAACTAAAGAAAGATTTAGCTACTAAAGCTATATAAAAGACTACTATAAGAAAAATAACTAGTAAAAAGTAAATACTAGTAAAGAAGAAACACTAATTTAAGTAAGGTAGTATATTATTATATTCTTTAATTATAAATAGATACTAATATTACTTAGCTATAGCTCTAAGAGATATTAAGAAGTATTAAAAGTCTACTAAGCTTTTTATTTATAAGTTACTATTTTCTTACCTTATTTATAAGATTACTAAAGCCTTACTAAGAAGTATAAGTATATACTATTAGGAAACTATACTTAAAGCCCTCTAAAAAGTAACTAAGTTATTTCTTATTAGTTATTTTAAAGGTATAGTTAATTTTTTTTACTACTACTAGTACTATACTTACTATAAAAGACTAAAATATTAATACTATTTATACTAAATAGATTACTATTTAGTAAAAGAACTTAGTACTAGTAAAACGTTACTATAGTAAGTTTAGTATAATAGAATTCTAAGTAAATAAATAGGTTAATATAATTAGCTTTCTTTATATAAGAATACTTAGATTTATAGTTTAAATAAAACTTTTTATAAGCTATAATAAATAACTATAATAACTACTATCTCTAATCTAATACTTACTAAAATACTTACCTATATAATATAAAATTCTAATTACTAGAAATATTTTAGAGTAGATATAATAAAACTTAACTTCTACCTAGAGTCTATATAACTCTAACCTAACCTTAACCTAATACTAGCGTTAAAATATTAGGTTAGAGTTAGGTTAGAATAGACTATATATTAGGTTAGAGTTAGGTAGAAGTTAGGTTATACTTATATAAGACCTAACCTCTACTTAACTCTAACCTATTTACTAGCGTATATAATAGTAGTAAAAGTAAGTTAGTAAACTTTACCTTATTAATATAATAATTCTAGTAAACTTTAGTTAAGCTATATAATAGTAGTAAGGTAATTTAGTAGATTTTAGTTAAACTTTATAATATAAAACTAGTATAGTATAGGCTATAGTTACTAGATATTAACCTAATATCTACTAACTTAATTTATACAGCTAATAAAGTTCTTAAGCTAACCTTTGTGTTTATATACGCCTAGACAGATTAAGCGCGTTTAACTATTTAAGAATTAGGACATTATCTTAAGTACCGTAAGAAGGACGTAGGCAAGGCGTAAGTTCTTGCTCTGGATTTAACCCAGTAATGCTAACGTTAGGCTAGATTGCTTTCAGCTCTAATAAGATTCTCGATGGGACTAAGACTTAGTACAGAAGAGCTCGAGGGTATAAAAGCTCTTGAAGCTAACTGCGCAAAGCAGCTTTCTGTAGTTAACGACATATGCAGTTACAACAAGGAGGAGGAGGCGGCTCGGACCGGACACAAGGAGGGAGCTTTCCTTTGTTTAGCTGTAAAGGTTTTGGCAGAGGAGACGAAGCTTGGTATACCTGCAACGAAGCGCGTGCTTTGGTATATAACTCAGGAGTGGGAGAATGTGCATGACGAAATCGTGTCAGAGAAAATCGCATCTCCAGATGGCTGCTCTGAAGCTGCTAAGGCATACATGAAGGGCCTGGAGTACCAGATAAGCGGCAATGAGTAATGGAGTAAGACCACGCGTCGGTACAACTGGATGTTTCGACTCTCAGCAAGTATAGATAGATGAATAACGAGCATTCCAGAGACTGAGGTCGGGCAAGATGCTCACAAGAACATGTGAGCGATGTACTAAACATGCTCGTCACAGCATTTTAAGTAACACCTCAACTCGCGCAGAGAATCATGTAAATATCTGCGCTTTTTGCGCGGAGGTACTTCTCAGGGAGAATTGGTAACTATTCAGACATGTACTTTTGTTCGCCCTGAGCAATAATTTCTAAACTTGATACAGGTGCGTCTAATGAAAGTGGATAGTTCGGCGGCTATAGGTCTTGATAATCCGCCACTCTGAAGCGGCACACGATCAGTGCGCAGGAACGCCCGCAGCTCTGCCTACGCAAGATATAGGCTCGATAATCATGCGCTACAACCAGCTTTGTGCGACCCCACCAGCTGATTTCAAACTCAATCGACAACCAGGGCTTTGTGCTTGTCTCCCCGTTTGCCCGATTCTGGCTAATCCCGAATATTGGTTGTTTCGGCTACCCTGTTCCGGAAAACGCCTGAACTACCTTTCAGCTCCCTTCTTTCGGCATATTGTCCGGGTGGGAATTGTTAGGTTTCGCCTTTTGTAAGGCGCTGTTCGATGCATCTTGGGATGCTTTTGCAGCAGCTAGGGTCGGAAAACTTGGATTAGATGATACCCATAAATGTCCAGTCAGGTAGGAGTGATTTCCAATCAAGTTCATTCAAAATAAAGTGTTGAACGATAATAATCACGCATTGAGTATCCCTTGGTGAAGAGAGATAAATCCGCGGATATTCAGGCCAATTAAAGAGAGTCTTGGCGTAGGCTTGTCAGCTTTCGTTGCAGGGTTTTGATTCTTAGCATCTTATGTACCGCGAGTTTATTGGCCCAGATCCGCGGGTTTATCTCACCACACCACTAGGGGATAAGCACAATGTATCAGTCGCTTGATGGCGGTAAGCTTAAGTAGGCAGTAGCTAGGGATCCTGTGGATGTGATATGAATCCGTACATTTAGCCTGCGGCGCGTGGAGTGGGGCCGGTACCTGATTGGATTGATTCCAGGCCCTTATCCAAACCGACTTCCCCATCGCCTATTTGAAGCACCGCAAAGCTTGCGCTTTATCTTTAGCACCCACTTTCAACGATATTATAGCTTCTACCCACGTCATCACAAGCATCATAATGGCCAATCCACTTATTAGTAACCACCATGGCAAGAACGGCAAGTACACTCAGGCCTTCTTGGAGCAGAATGGACCCGGAGATGCTCGACCTACAGCTCTCGACATTCTCAAGGACAACGACCGGATCGGTACCATGGAAGACAAGGTGAGCATTTCTGCTACTGGAATCCAGAACTGGTATTGATCAATCACAGGTCTTTCTTCTCACCGGGTCCTCTGGAGGAATCGGCATCGAAACAGGTCGAGCACTCGCCGCGACTGGAGGGAAGGTGTATATGGGCGTTCGCGACTTGGAAAAGGGAAAGCAAGCTTTGCAAGAGATCCTCGAACCCGGCCGCGTGGAGCTGCTTGAACTGGACATTGGTTCGATGGACAGCGTCCGTACTGCGGCCAAAACGTTTTTGTCCAGGTCGACCCAGCTGAATGTCTTGATCAACAATGCGGGGATCATGGCATGCCCAGAGGCAAAGACAGTAGATGGCTTTGAGTCGCAGCTTGCAATCAACTATCTCGGCCATTTCCTTCTCTACAAGCTACTCGAGCAGACGCTCTTGAACAGTTCCACGCACGAGTTCCAATCCCGCGTCGTCAACGTCTCTTCCGCTGGCCATCACATGAGCTCCGTTGTTCTCAACAACATCAACCTCGATGGTGAGTACGAGGCGTGGAAGGCATACGGCAATGCCAAGACAGCTTGCATTTGGATGACGAACGAGATCGAGCGCCGATACGGTTCCAGGGGCCTCCATGGCCTTTCGTTGATGCCTGGCGGTATTGCCACGGGCCTACAACGTCACGTCGACCCAGAGACATTGAAGCAGTGGGGTTCGAGTGAGCCTGCTCAAAAGTATGGCAAGAGCCCGGCCCAGGGCGCTGCCACGACCATGACGGCTGCACTCGGTAACGAATGGGAAGGCAAGGGTGGTGTCTATCTGGAGGACTGCCAGGAAGCTGGCCCTATCCCTGAGGGCGGTACACTGGCGGTCGGTGTTGCACCACACGCCTTCGATCCAGAGGGCGAGAAGAAGTTGTGGGCTTTGTCTCTCAAGACGTTGAACATTTCAGAGTAGTGCGCAAGAGGGACATCTACCGAGGAGGCTTTGAGATCGATGGAAGTGAGAGAAGATCCATGAATGTGTCGTCGCATTGGATAAAGGGCAGGGATAGGAAGAAGCGGTGTTTCCGTGGTATAATGTCGATGCACGCAAACAACTAAAAATGAGGTCAATAATGAGTAAGGCTTAGGCTGTGGCACATATCGAGCTAGCCTCTGGATTGCACCGCATTTCTGAGTCACCTAACTTTCAAAATAACACGTTTTTCTGTTGTAACTACGTTTCGACATAACACAATAAACAGCAAGAGATTAGTTGGTAACAGACTTTTCAGCCTTCAAGATAAAGGACCTATGGAGATAAACATTACGACGTACTACGCTTATTGAAGGGCCACTTCCGGGTTGAGACAGGCTTGTTCATTATAATGTTGAGTCCAACCTCCAGCGCCCGCATTTCATAGGCACGGCGAGCCAACGGCTCAGTGTTTATAATGACGCACGATATGCGCAGTCGATGAATTAGATCCCTCAATTTCAAGGCCACTGACTCTGGCATCTCCGTCGTGAACAGTAGAACGTAGGAGAATTCAGTTTCAGGCCAAACTGTCTGCCTTAAGTGCTCAAGACCTCGTCGGTTTTCTTCCCGATCAATAGCAGTCACAGGCACGGCTCGTCCAGAGACCTCGAGAGTCTTCAATTGGGGCAAGTAAACTCTTATTGCAAAGGGCCCTACTCCTATAAGTAAGAATCTTGGTTTGAATTTCTCTCCAGGGTATGAAAATTCATTGTATGATGTTGAAACGAGGTTGGTGTTCTTGCATTGGTCTTGTTCGACAGCGGTGCTAGTTTGCTCGTTCCATGATCAATTATCTGACCCAGGAGTGATATCAGGATATAGTATCTGGACCATCGTCATGTGTTTGATTGTGAATTCCAGTGTTACTACATTAACACTTGATGGTGTCAAGCCAGCTGACGTTGCAGCTGCAGCAGAAATCGGTTCGAAAGAGACGGGCAGAACACTCAACTATCTGGTTAACAATGCAGCGCGGACGCATGTCATGCCAATCCTCGACGAGATTATCGAAAACGCCAGGGGGATCTTCGATACCAATTAATGGGGAACTATTGATGTGACGTAAGCGTTGGCGCTGTTTGTTATCAAGGGGCAGCATCGCGTTCATAGCTTCGATAGAAGGCTACATGAATGCGTCTTTCAAAGGTTTGTTCCGATTCCAGAAAGTAAACCCTTACCTGAATACTTATCTCAAGATCAGCAACCTATGCCGCGTCGAAGAAGGCTACCAAGATATTCGCGGACACTCTACGACTTGAGATCAAGCCGTTCGACATCAACGTCATGTATGTTGTCACAGGGATAATTCTGTCAGATTGTTACTTGTACTTCAACGATCTTGTGCTCCCAGATACGTCTTTACACAAGCAAATCGAGTTTGACATCCAGGACCTTGCCCGTAGAAGAGATGGTATGCCGACACTAAAATGTGCCTCATACGTAATAGAGCAGATCACAAATCAAACAACCTAAAAGTACGGGTATAGTCCGCGGGCACATCTTATCAAGGTGACCATGGCGCCTCCTATGTCTCATGAAAGAACCGTGAGTTCAAGGAATTATAGACCCCACAGTATGATTACGATAGTAACAAGAACAGGATGTTGAATTGATGAAGGGCACTGACATAGATATGTGGGGACAGTGAGATTGAAAGAAATATGGGACATACATACCTATAGGGTTTTGCGAAAGTGCGGCTTGTATATTAGACAAGACAAGTCAATAACACGATTAGGTGGGGTAAGATCTAGAGGCGAGTAAATTATGAGCAACATGTTATGGACAAATGCCTTATGTACTATTGTTAACACCCAGTCAAGTTTAGAATCATGCTCAACGCATGATATTGGAGCGGACCTCAGATCGGATCGCTTGCCGTCTTTGGACTAGCGGGAGACTATCAGGCCCGCAAGCCTGCGGTATCAGCGCTTATAAAATGGTTAACCGCGTCTCGCAAACGCTAAAACAACCTCTTAATGTTAGTAGTAGCTACTTTTTGTTCTTTTTAACCATTCTAAGCGCTATTGCGCGTTTGAAGGTTCACCGGTTCGAGATAGTCTGTCTTAGATTCCAGTACCTCGCCGCGAAGCAAATCTCGATTGTTACGCAAGAATCGTATGTGAGGCAAAGAACATCAACTTGCACGATGCTCACCGGTTCCAACCACATCGTGTCGTACGGAGTCATCAGGCCCGTGCACGATCGAGTTTAAGTTGTCTCAAGTCAGTTTGGGCGTCCTGATCCGTGTACTCGACGCCTTTGTGGGTTGTGCTTGAGTCCAGTCAGTACCGACCTGTTCTGATTGGAGCGGCAAGTGACGCGTGCGTACAAGAGGTACTAGGAACTGAGACTGCCCGAAGATATTTGAATGCATTTCAAGCCGCCTGAGAACGCAATATCAGAAGTCATGATTGCAGGTAAACCGCTTGCGTGTACATGTCACACCCCACATCTCACACTGTTGCCTAGAACGTTTGTAATTCCTGACCGTGTTGGAGCAGAGTCTTCGGCGCAGTCATCGCGATACGCCAGTAGGGCTTATACCATCGTCCGGCTCAAAGTCCATCACATAATACAAGAATAGTCAATTACCCAGTGGTTGGTAATGAAGTATCTGAGGAACATGACGTCGATTATCACTAGTCAAAAGTCGTGAAGCTCTCAGCTGTATCGATAACTCGCCCATGGAGAACATCACCAGCATCACATGCTCGAAACGATTCACGTAAGAGACAAACACGAGGGAGGCGTTGTCTCCCCAACAGTGCAGCTTGTGTCTGATCTCATAGCCGAACTCAGCATGAAAAGGGATTATATAAGTCCGTAATGCCGTGTGCAGGCGATGGCGACAAGCCCATTGAGTGTCTCAAAAAGCCTGTGATCAGTGCCGTATGAAGGGGTTACCAGATCAGACTAAGGAACTGAGAAAGTTCGGTTGACATTTTCAAGTCCTTTCAAACGTTCCGCGTACTTGGTCTACTCCCAACCTTTTCAACAGCTCTAAAATTACCCAGACATGGTGCTGGATCGAACAGGAACTTCGCATGTAATATGAGTGTGTCTGATGACAAAATACTAGATACCTATGCGCCCTGTGGTTGCCATCCCGGCTCCTTCATTTCGAATTTCTCAAAGTTGAAAGCCGGTGCGACGGTGCAACCCACGAGCGTCCAATCTCCCAGACTCTCTGCACTTTGCCATTCGCTTTGCTGCAAGATGACCTGTGGCTCCTGTCCATTCAAAACGTCGGCGCCGAGGATTTTGTGGCGTACGGGCGTGCCATCGTTCCACGAGAGTGAGAGGCGGATGGGTGCGCCGGCGTAGTAATGCCAAATTTCGGCTGCATTGAGAACACGATGCCAATTCGATTGACCGTTGCCTTTTTCGAGGAGATAATAGATAGCTGAACTGTGCTGTTCGTGATTCGACTTAGCCGGATCGACAAACGTTTGGATGTAGAAACCTTTCTCAGGATGGGGCGTCATGTTAAGCTTTTCGATGATCTCCTGGGCGGTAGGCATATTGTGAAGTTTGCCAACGTCAGGTCAAATTTGATTATATGGTATGTCTGTTGTTGCTAGGCACTTTCCAGTTAGAAGAGAATTTGGTTTAGAAAAGTTTAGAGTATGGTAGATGAAGCAGCAGTCGCGGAAGAATAGCAATAAGCGATGATGGTGCGTAGTCAGCAATGAATCCACCAGACGGGGCCTCCATGTGGGGTAAGGGCCAATTCGCGCGTCTGTCTTGGCGGCCTAATCGATATGGGAGATTTGGAATCAATTTACGTCATCGCTCTGCCAGCAGTTAAAGATGTATTAATGTCTGCGGTACCAAAGCAAATCGAAACTGCTATCAACAATTCGCTGTAATCCACTGGTTGAGACAGTGCAACTACTGTCAAGATGTTATCACGAGAAGGAGTTTATTGGCTCAAGTCAAGCTAAGACCTAGGAGTTCCGCGATCACTTCAGCAGCCTGTCCGGCCACCGCCCTCGTTTCTTCATCCAGGTCAGCGTCTGTACTCAGAGCCCGCAGCCTCTCCTCCCATAATTGCCATCGCTCTCGCGTTAGCCCGTCTTCTTTGGGCCACAATTCTGTTTTGTACTCCAACGCCGCCGAATTGTTCCGCCACAGCTCATCTTGGTCCATCGCCCACAATATCCGGCTACCATTCCTGACCCAAGTCGCTGCAACCCGAACATCCAACGCCCAAACCTGCTCCGGTGACATTCTATGCGCCCTTGGCCCATCGGACAGGGGACCCTTACGCTCCAGCACATTGTGGCACGCATAGAATACCCACACAGGGCGCACAGCGCCTTTTCCATTAGTCGCATTCAGCAAGGCGATCGAGAAGTCGCAGATACGGAGATAGTATTTGGCGGGGTTGCAGATTGGTGAGCTTGAGGTCGAGTTGTTCCCTTCACCCGCAGTACGCACACCGTCCCAGTCGCGCCAGGCCTCCAGGATGCCATGCACGTCACACCACTGCGCACGGAAGCGCGGCAACATTGGCCAGTGAAGCTTTCCGTCGGCCTGAATATAGCTATGAAGATAACCCTCTGCTTCAGAACCCGGAGCTACATTGTTGGGCTGGGTGGGCGATTGCGCGCGCATGGCATCGAGGAAGGCGAGGTGAGGGACGTGTGAAGCCGAGGAAGTGACGACAGCTGTAAAAAAGGCATCCCAGAGTTCCCAGAGAGCCGTGGCAGGATCGGGGGAGGTAGTGACGATGTTAATCAGGTGTTCAATTGTCTCGTCTGGCGCTGGCGCAGGCGCGGAAGCCGAAGAGAGACTGAAAGAGGTGAGGATAGCTTGGATCGGCGTGGAGAAGGGATTTGGGGGATTACTGCCCGGGACATCGAGCAAGGTCGTCATTCTATAGAGTGTGAGTTGAGGGTAAATAGCGTGCTGCATACTGTTAGTAGAAAATTCTCGGCCCTGGGCCTCTTGTGTAAATGTCTTGACTGACATGAGTCTCAGACACTCTGCAAGTCAAACTCACCTGCAATTCGAGAGGTTGACACAATCCATACATTGTTACTGACAACTCCTACCTCCGTGATATGCACAAGACGTTGACCTGACATCAGATGTCGCAAAGGTCTGTGCTGCTGTGACATTCTGCTCCACTGCGGGTCCGAAAACCTTTTTCAGCATGCACATCATTAGTCTTTGACATGCCTACCTTTCTTAGAATAGTGCTCGATGTGATTTCAAGACTACGTCTGCTATTTAACAACTTCCTGTGGTTTTATCACACACAACGCGAGTCTTGGTTGTACAATTGTCACAAGGTTCGTCAAGTAGGTGCGCAATGAACCCTGCTTTGAAGGAATAATTTGGTAAAATGCGGGACGCATATGTTTGCTGCGTTATACATCTGGTGGAGGCGAGAGGATTCTTTACGATACTTAGAAACCTTTATGTGGCGTTACCCAGGTGCCCGCTATTATATCTTTGTCCCAACAAAGCATTGAAAGGCGCCCGAGTAATATCCTGCCAGTTTATTCAAAGCGACGCGGATTGTGAACACATTCTTGAGTTAGGAGATCGAGAATTGGAAAGATCGGATTCGTACCTATGGTTGGTTGGAGTGGTGTAAGTTCTATGATCTTTGTACCTAGCAAGATGCAAGTGCTGCATCGTATGACTCGAGATGTCCACGCCAATTTATGTCAAGTAAATAACACTACAAAACTCGCCATCGGTGACCATGAAGATGGAAACCAAATTCTCTATCGAATTTCTTATGAGACCAGAGATCAGCGATAGCATGCATCGTCAAATTTTGTATGTATAATCGATCATCCACCAGCGACTCTGTCAAAAAGATATCAGTCAACCTCTTCTAATCGTCCGTTTTCTGCACCTTCACCTTACATCTTAGTCCTTCTCGAATAACGCTTGCCTTGAAGCTTTGTCCAATAAATATTCATTGCATTATGCCCCTTAGGCCTTAGTTCTGACCTTTGCGCGAATGTCCTCGGCTGCTCCTATACCTGGTCATGTTCTGAACCAACAATCCGCTATCATTTACCCATCGACGAATTTTTGAAGTGGCCGAACTACTGCTACAACCCCGCCCAAGGTGGGAAGGCTCTCCGGTGAGGTATCAATAACATGCTAAGTACTGCGGCCTAACCATGTGAGTCTAACTCGTCTCTTTACGTGATCTACTCACATTGGCCTCCTAAAGGGTTTTGAGGAGAACTGGAGCTCTCTATACTTGTTCTCCTACATTGACATGGCGAAGATTGTATGAGTTCTCTCCCTTATACGCGGAGAGAATTTACGGTGGTAGTGCGCCTAACGTTGACGAGATCGTGTCATATACCTAAGTAGCTATATCGGATACTTGATGCAGCGTATCGCTCACTTGCGTATGATGATTTGGGATAGTGTAAGGAGCAACTAGGTACCAAGATACCCTTGAAAGGTTCAACAAAAGCGAAGCGTTAGGACGATCGTTGAGTTACGTAGTTGTGTTAATTCGTTTTGTTAACCCTGCTCAAACTCCTGTGCTGATCGCTTTGACATTACAACCAGTACTGCGTAGATCAAACATGTACGTATAACACAAACGTGTCGTCAGCTCTAGAGCGTTGTGATTATCGGCGCTAGCCCATTAACGTTGGTCCGATCTCTCAAACAGCTCAAAACAGGGAAACGCTTGAGTAACAATGGAGAGAGTATAACGCATATAGTGTGTAGTAAATATCAACTAGGGCTGTGTTGCGCTGCTGGGTAACGTGTGCTCAGGTGTACGAAGGTGTACGTATAGCACTGACGTGTTCATGATTTTGGAACAGCGCTAGCCGAACGCAAACCAACTGCCGCTGGTCCGTACTCTTTCGAGTTTGAAACAAATAAAGAGATTAGTAGTAATAAGACGTATTAGACGCGTGTATATTGTAGTAAATCCAAAACAAGCCGAGATCGCGCTCTTGATACAAAAAGGACGCTCAGGAACATCACAACATGTTTTGTCTTCTCGAAATATCTTTGTCCAATATTCATCCTTGACGCCTGATTCCAGCATGTGGTTTTACAGAATCTCCCCATTGGCATTTGCCACACTTGCCTTTGGTGAATCGCATTACTTTTTCTCCGGTTTTTTCGCGGGTTCGACGATCGTAGGAGTGACGTTTGACGACGCAACCTCCACTCTAAGTCTAGTGAACAACATCACTACTCAAGCCACTTCGGGGTCAAAGTGGATTGCCATTGATGTCAGTTCTTACATCCGTTTATATCGAAGGACAGGACAAGTGTTGATTATCCGAGTCTAGGCACGCAAACAAAACATCTATGTCGCAACTACTGGCGCTTTCCAAAGCTATGCCATTACAGCGAACAAGAGTCTGGAGTTCTCAACAGAGATCGCCCTCTCGTCTGATTGTCAGTGACGCTCCTAAAGTTTGTGAATCCAGCCTCTTACACTTTGCAGGTCAGAACGCCAACTACCTTACCGCTGCATCTGCCTCAAATTACACGGTTTTCGGTACTCCGTATAGCACTGGTTGCTCCACACAGGCCGTTTCAGTGGATGATTCGGGAGCATTGAAGATGGTAACAGCGAATCTGACTTACAACAGCAAGGCTGGCGTGCATGGCATCGACCTGAGCCCTGATAATGCCTTCGTGTATTCCGGAGATGACATGGGCAACGCTGTATGGGTTCACTCGTACGACCAGGAAACACAGACTGCAACAGAGATTCAGTACCTTGCTGCTCCTTCCGGGGCAAACCCGCGTCATCTTGCGGTGCATCCAAATGGGGAATGGGTCTACGTCATCTATGAAGAGGCAAACTCGCTCGCTATATATAAGAGAGATAACTTCACTGGTCTCTTGACGGACACAAACACGACATACTCTCTCCTTCCATCAAGTGAGAATCTCCAACAACTATCTGTACTGTATATTCAAGGCTAATATGTTCTTTCTTAGACATCACAGATCTATCCTCCTACTGGTCTGACGAAGCGAAGTTCTCCATCCCGTCTACCAACAGCAGTACTACATCGCCAAAATATTTGATCACTGGTACACGGTCTCATTCGACATCCATACTTGGTTATACCTCAGCTTTCGCACTTGACCCCATTACTGGTGCAATCACAGAGCAGCTGTTCATTACACCCACCACTGGTAGCGGCGGATCAGCAAACGCTGTTTCGCCCGCGCCATTCAGTGAGGAGTACTACGCAATCACTGATAGCGGCTCCAATTTCCTAGAGATGTGGAAGATTGGCGATGACGGCAAAAGTGCTGCAGCAGTTGCTCATTTGGGACTCAATGGTGCGCCTGCAAATGTGGTTTGGACGAACTAAAACAGTACGAGAAGTGAAGGACTCCGTGAAGTCAGATCACTAGTGTACAACATTGTCAACTTCCTCGAGTTCTTTTCCGGCAATTAGATTAGACAGGGGCTAGCTCAAGACCTCAAGGCATCTACGTATCTGCATTGCAATTTACCAAATCAACACACTCATTTATGATACTGTTTTCGCACTTCTTCACTCAATTCTTCGATTTGTCTGCTGGAATATACGTTTCTTGTGTTCAACCACCATTGAAACGCAACCTGTGACTCAAGATCAAAGCAAACACACAAGCTGAGACGGCAGGGAAGAGGCTGTCTGAAGCCAACCTCTTCGACAAAGGGGATCGGTGGTTTGATTTCATAGAGGCTCTAACAAAGGATTCCAGTTTAGGACCATTTCTTCAATTTGGAGACGTGCGCGAGCTATATTCTCGCCTGCTTAGAACACAAACATCGACTCGAAATTTGAGCCAGAGCCTACGTGAGCTTACTTCTTCAACATGGTGCCATTCAAGAAGAAATCTTATGGGTTTAGTCCATGCGCTTCGAGCACCGCATCATACACTGAGCGTTTTATTCACGCCGCCAACTACACTCTCACGTCGAACTCAGGGTCCTTGTTGCATTTTGCAACACCCGCCACGTGCACCTTATGAACAACGAGATTTACGGCTTGTCGATCTTCGGACCGCCGTCCTTGTCAATGACACAGAGCCGCATATATACATATATACCCCGCCCGCTACCGCCTCCACTACTCCTACGAGTCAGACCCTGCACGCGCTCACACTCAACACGGCATTGGTGAGGACTTTGGTGGCAGTGGCTTGCGCCTTGTAAGTCCCAATCGGATGCCCACTAGCAAAAACATGCGACTACCAACACAGGTGTGGGTCTCATGATGGTCAAAGTGAACTCTATGCGACACCATTTTGACCGTCGTGCTAAAGCTTGACCGCGAGCACGTTGATTGCCACAGGTCTACCTATTGATCGTAACCGCCTCGCCGAACTTGTCGGTATGGATAGCGCAGCTTTGCGCGACGCTGCTAACGTTGTGTTCAGCCTCCTGATCGCTCGTGGTGTACCGTTCCTTCAGCCCGTTGTCGGTGTTCTGTTCTGAGTATGGTTGGGATGCGGCAGTATGCGTACTTGGAAAGAAGAGATGAGATCATCTCGAATTTTCAGAGCAGCTGGGATTCAGCCAGAGGCCGAAATAAGGAGCAGGGAGCCATGGCTAGACTGTTTTTGGGTCACCTGCGCAGTTTCGCGTGTGGACTCGCTCGTACGCGTTGACCGAATGGCATATATTTGGGGTATATTCGATGGCAACAGCCGTTTCAGTAAGGCCAAGGGATAAATGTGCGATTGAGGATTTGCTGGAAACACATCTGGAATATCTTTTAAGGAACTTTTTCCACAATTTGGTTTTGCTCACTCATCCGTGATATGTCACGGCAGACTCGTCTCTGCGCACTGTTGCTACATATTGACGCTGCGGAATGTCGGCTCGGGCGCGGGTTGTGGCAGTTGCCGTAACATCTGCCTAACGGGGGTCTCCAACGGTATATTCTACTAGAACAAAAGGGGTGCCAGAACTTAAGTTGCTCGTTTTACCCAACTCGCTTTGGTCTCCGCAACTCACGTCTCCACCCCGCCACCGATGATGCTAGTTCATGGCCAGAGGATGGATAGCGGCGGCTAGCTGGGAGGTAGAAGGTGGCCTTGCCGATGTAACTTAATTTCGTGACAGCTAAGCCAGCCTGCGGGGCAGCAATGTCGAGAAATGATCTGGGGCCAGCTGCACGCTCGCTGTCACGAGTCTTAGCATGTATATATGACATGAGCCACCTAGCTAGCTCTCTCACCTACAGATCATACTACATGTACTTTCTATGATTTGTTACACTCGCTGTCATCTTCTCCAGCGGCTATTCGGTAACTGGCGAAGTATTGGGTTAGCGTTAGCTATAAGCGCCATCAGGTCAGAACCCTTAGTGATCTAGTGGTTAGATCTGCACGTCAAGGTTGACTTCGACTTCGATGGGTGGAATGTCGGTGAAGCGGGCGAGCATGTCCACGACTAGGGGGCTAGAGGAGTAAGGTCAGATGATATCAGTCAAAATGGAGTCACATCCGATACAAATAAAGTTATGGTGGGGCGAATGCACGCAGATGTAAGTAAGCGGCATGGAGGCAATACGGGCAAGGTTTGGCGATCGGTGTTATGACGTCAGCGTCAAACGACAGAGTAAGATTGGACAACTGTAATTGATCACTACAACCTGCTTATAGACGAAACTCGCTCGCCGGGCTGAATAAGGGCTAACCTGATGAGGAGGGCTAGTAGCTGTCTCGCAGTTTAAAAGCATGTTGCAAAATATCCCATTAGCCTTCTCATTCTTATCACTCCACCCAATTGTTTCAATTCAATCTACTATAATCATTGTCATCACAAGATGAATCATCCCTTACTCAGCACCTCGCCGAAAGGCCTTACTGAGCTCCCCAGCTCAGAGAGCGCTACTATCGATGCGCAGGATGTGCGTGAGTGCGCCGCTCGAGGTGAATTTGAGGAGATGCGAGGAGCAGCTTTCTATAATCGTACCTGGATTGTCACCGAACGATATAGTATTGTTGGGGATGGAGTAGACTCTCTTGAAAAACACCTCCACTCCCTGTGGCACATGTACTACCAGCTCGGTCTACATACGTCACATGAATCGTCTGCCCAAGATAGCCTGGTTCTCGATATCCTCCGCATTCAGGGAAAGGGACCCTTGACTAGAACTGTACGTGGGTCCTACGGAATCGATATCGCTCGTACAGCCGACGGCACGCTGTGGAATGATTTGCCTTTCTTGGTCACGGACATGACTACCTTCTGGATCAACAGTTGCGCGTCCATGTCGGGTGTTCAACGCCTCAACTTTTCTACCTTCCTAGCAAAGCTGGCGTCCACCCGTGTTAGCAAGGATAGAATGTGCCGTATCGCTCTCATTCTATTTCGTTCTACTTTTGAGGAACCACGACCTGTTAGCACTACAGACATGGATGATACAAACACACATCGGACCACCAGGGGGCTTGACATGATACACTTGCTGCCAGCTGCATGTGCGTGGATCAAAGTGGCCGGTCACAATATCATTCAACTTTCAGACGTCTCATGGAATGATTTCCCAAGCGCAATTGGTCAGGGTGGCGAGTTTTTCGTCGAATCAGAGCTTGGGAAGCGATCATCAGCTGGATTTACGCCCTGGAGATGGATGTATTGGCTCAAACGTCTGCATGAGATCCGGGAAGAAGCAAAAGAAGCTAACGAGAAACGCGTAGAGGAGCATGCCAGCGAAGCTATTGATCTTATGGTTCAAGGAGTAAGGGGACATAATTCTGGAATTTTGAGGGCGTACCAGAACGGCGGAAACGTCGTACAGGAAGACAAACATTTGGTATGTCTGAGAGGGGAAGACTCGATATAACATAGTGATTATAGTTCATCATATCTCTCTCTTACCCTTCTGTTGTCTCTGGCTCCCTGGACTCAAGTGATTATCCCCAGGAAACCATGATCACGTCTGAGGAATGAATCTGCGATGTGTGTAGAAAATAGCAAGATGCCATTGCAATTCAAAAATTTCACGTTGCAGTATTGCAAGTATCAAAGAGGTCAAGATATTACTCAAGGGAATGAAAATACCATAGGAAATTGTAGTAGATGCACTAATCGAAACTATAGCAGGTCCAGGACGTCACAGCCATAGGGATCACATAAAGACCACATAGTGGGTAGGTAAAGGCCGTTGTTTATAGTATCAAGATCAAGCTTACTACATAAGGAGTGTGTTTCCAACGATAAAGAAATCTCTCAACAGATCAACCTAGCTGATATCATGTGTAGATGTGATACCTCGACTATCAATAAAGCATCTTTCGTTTCGCGTCCTTCTGAAGGTAACGTGGTAGATCTTGAGAGTTGCACAGTACTTCGCTAAATACCAGCACAGTGAAGACCAGGTTTTGCCCGATGCCCTGGATAGGTGGAAATCCACTTAATGGCACGTGAGTACTTTGCTAGCACTGTCGTATTCGCAAGTGCCACCCGTAGTGGGGAGAGTAGTGCACTATGAACGAGTAAGGCTAGGACGGTCGCAGCTTGAATAGCTACTTGAGAATCAATCAAAACATACCTTTTTGTTGGCGGCAATACCGCACTTGGCAATAGTGACCACACCGTTTTGGCCATTGTACCTGCACTGTTGCGTTGAAGCATCACATTTCTGAATATAGATACAAGTACTTAGTGACGATTTCTGGTTTGGATCTTGAAGATTTGGGATAGGGATATTTGCGTACTCCAGTGTATGTGATGAAAACGCCTCTGGTATCGATGTCGTTGAGCTTAGAGTCGATAGGGGTGGCTACCGCGCTCATTACCGTGACGAGGAAAATCGCAGCTGAAGTAATGTGCATGATGATTGGCTTGTTGTAATAGTCGTTGTAAGGGAGGACAAAGATGGTAAAATAGATAGATCAAGTTGTCTGACAAGAAAGGCTTGCTACTGAGATGAATGAGACATTGGAATGTCCTGGAGCCTCCTTATATAGAAATCATCGCATGGGAAATGGTCATACCCAAAGACAACACATTGTCACCAAGACTTACAGACGGTCGATAAGATGATGTGAAGTGGCTCCACCTCAGTGTCCAAAAAAGCACTCTCGCACGACCTATCGTCATCGGGCGTAGGCACTGTGCAGATAGTTTCTACATATGAGGAGTAAATCTGATGGAACCTTCCTGATTTGGTTCCTATGGATGTTCTAGCCCCCTACCAACAAGGATTAATCGTCAATTGCGAGTTTGCATTCAATGACAAACACGAATAGCGTGGAGCAAGAGGACTTCAATGAGGGGATTAAGCTTTGTGTAGTGCTTAGTATATACAACCCTATCCGGATTTGGCACGGTAACAGTGGACATATGTTAACCTTCTATTGCGCCGAGTAATCGCATGGTCTCCCTGGATGAGTTTATGAGCGCTTTTCGAAAGACCTTTGTATAACGTAACTTGGGACAGATAGTAAACCAATCAATAGTTAGTAAGATTTTAGTGCTGACGTTGTAGCAAAAGTTTAATTTTCTAATGCTAATATACGCTAATCCCTTTTAGCTAATATATCTCTTCAAACATAAAAGTAAAACAAAGATACCTTTTTTACAATTGAAGCTATAAAGTCACATGAATGCCCTAAGTCACTTTATACACATGTATTTCAAAAAGCACTATATTTGATTGGTTAGTAAGATCAAGCGTGTAGCGGCAATTTCTGAACATCAAAAAGCGAAGATCTCCACTAAAGTTGAATGCAGAGCCGCGACACAGCTTCACGACAGATCAAAGGTTCTCATGCAGCGCAGTGTTGGCAGCAACTGCAGTGGGCGTCACTAGCTACAAGACTCTACCGGAAAATCGATGAATTGACGTATCTTTGCAGGTACCAATTATGCAGACACGATTATCACTGCCATCGGACCAGAAGTAGAAAATGGCGTATTGGAATACCCTGAAGTCGGTAATGAGACTTCTCTACCCCAAATCCCAAACCAAAAAGCCCTCCCTGTCTGAAACTGCGGTGCTGATCCGGTATTCAATCTAGCTCTTCGCATAGCTGCAACATAATGGGTTCTTTTCCTTGTTCATCGTACTCCAAAGATTTGTTCCAAATGAAAGGCAAGTCCCTCTTTATAAGCGACTTAGCTCCTTTTCTTGTAAACGCTGCAAGTGGCACACGGTTTTCTCAATCGTGGATCGACAGATTGAAGTCTCTCAAGTCTGCTACGTGGCATGAAGGTAGTATCCTCAATCCGTTGAAACTATCCATATGCTTGATTCTCTCGCCCTGAATAGACACTCTTCCATTTGGATGATGCGCAGCGTTTCTGGGGCGTCTCCATCACTCTGGCTAGGCTGTATATTCACCACGAACTCGAGTAGCTGCACCCTTGATGATGTTCATGATCGTTCTCTGATTTGGCAACGCTGAGCATGTGGCGAGCTAGCGCTGCTCTCTTGTGCGCGACATGACGTGAAAGTCGCGTGAGTGTGAGCGTGTAGGGCCTCTCCGAACACGCTGCCAGTATCCACTCGGCAGACTATCTCTCGTTGAAAGCTACGCAGCCTGTTTAGGAAGGTAAAGCTTGAATGAGCGCGAGCCTCCGAGGAAACAGAGTTCAAAGCCCGATTGGTCGTATGCTAGCAGGGCGAAGATTTGAGTGCTGTGGAGATTAAGGCTGGAACTGACTTGAATGTGACGCGCTCTGATGCCACGAGTCACGAGCATCAATTTATAATAGGGTAGTATCAATCACACGAGAGAGTTGGGGCGAGGTGAGCGAGCGCCTGCAATCAGATGCGTGATCGAGTTGCGGGTTAATGGCCATAGCACATGACACAAGGGGCCCTAGCCTGATCCCTGTTGCTCTTTTTGTTGCCCTCCCACCCTGACCTCACTGCCACACCTCTTCGGCATCCCCACTCACCACATGTGTCCAGCCCATTATAGCTTTTAGGTTGACCCGAACCGGATCTCATAGCGGGAGAAACCCGTCTAATAGAGGTGCAAATACATAGAGAAACTACGCGAAAAGTTATTGAAGACGGAGAAGGACTCGGGCAAGAGAGTAAACGCTTTTTTTGCTCGAATCAGAAGCAAGTTGTTTGTGCCTGCCAAAATCCTCATGTATATCGGAGTTGCCATCGCCGTCGCCTTTGTTAGATTCCTGATCTGGGATGTGGTGGCTCACGGTACTACGATATCAGTAGGGCAATTCTCACATGGCATGATCAACATCATAATGGAAACGGCTATAGTCAAAGGCGATGTCTTAGCCACAACCCTTCCTGCTGTTTCGATTATATGAGTAATCAAATAAGTACCCGCCATTGTTGTGCCTTTTATTGGGATCCTGATCGTAATATGTGGGAGCACAGAATATCAAAAGACTCGAGGAGAGAAGTTTGTCGAGCGGACGCAAACATGCTGGCTCGCGAGGATAGATGCTCCACTGAACACTCTGCTGGAGCTCTCTATATTCTCAACATCGGGCAAGAAGAGCTCCACTTGGCCGCTCACACTTATCACATTGCAAAGTATAGAGATCGTCGAAGCTGCCAGTACCTCACCTGGAGTGTCGGCGTCAACAGACACCATCAACTCTACGTCCTCGATCTTCTTTGCTGGGACTGACGATACGGCCATATTTTTCAATAGAGGCTTCGCCGGCCCGGGAGTGACCGTAGAGTTCGGACCTGGATCATGGTCGGTTAGTATGACTGGTGACAAGGAGTGGAGATCATGGAATGTTGCTTTTCTCAAGCGAAATGGAACCAATCTCAAATCAATAAATTACGAACTTCGTACAAGGCAGCAGCAGGAGAGTTGCCTTCGATTACGTCTGGAGGAAAGATCACTCTTGTTGTGACCGAGACGTTTGGCGGTACCGTCGGAACTGCATTACTGAAGGCCATCGAGCGATGCCCTGGTGCTCCCTTCTGCCTTTCCACCTTCACCATCACCAAAACCTCAAGTACTGGAGAAAGGTTGACGCTTTTTTGATTGCTGATCAGTCGACGAATTAAGACACGCTTGGGCTGGAGTAAGCATTTGACGTCGGATGGTACGCACCTGACTCTTGGGGTTCCTTTCGATATCTAGCTCGCGCTCCTCGTATGAACATCATAGAACGCATTCCTTCGACCTCTTAGTCTATGATGCCATGTATGTATGGCTTCACCAAGAGTTTATAGCCAGAGTGCATCTCACTATTGAAATGCACCAACCTGATCATGAACAGCATGCAGGTTTTGTAGTGACCATCATATAGCCCGCCTTTCACGCGCCACAACGAACCAATACAAAACAGCCTTTGCTTAGAGCGGCAAATTTCTGTGTATATAGAGCTGTTTTTTGTAGTGGGTCTAGCGATACGGAACTCTTGAAAGTAAACAAAACTTCTTCGATCAGGGTACCTACAGCTCAAGTACAGTCAAGGATGATACTCGACCTGTGGTCTCACTTGGGATCAAGCCGAACCCCCCTCCATGTAGCAAAGTTGGCAATACTACACCAGAATCAACACGCCGAGTTGCGAATATGTGCGAGAAAGCTGCAAAGACTGATGTTTTGGAGCTCACACATACTCGCTCCAGACCATAGCTTTTGTCAAACTCAATTTAAAAGGCCTGTTTTTTATGCTATAAACAAAATCGGTGGCTCCTGTTCTGGTCCAATCGTTGCGAAGACAGGCCAGAGATTTCAATCCGTAACAACCTCTGCTCCATCTCCTTTGTGCACAACTCTTACTCTCACACGGTCTTTTCCCTTAGCCCTCATAGCTTTCAAAATCTCACCATCGTTCTTCAGCGTAGCATTAGTCATGTGTTCCTTGAGCTGAGGTGATTCAGCTAACTGCGCAAACGCCGGCCACGCGTTCCCGAGAAGCGTCAAGTGTGTCCTTGTAACAAACAGTACTAGGAGTATCGCCATGAGGAGGAAATGTGCGACCAATGCCCACGTAAGTAGCATGAAGCCAACATAATCTCGCGGATACGGTACGTCGCTGAAGAAAGATACTTTGGCGGTGTCTAGGCGGTCAAATGCCGGCTGCTGGCTGTAGTAGTTCGTCATGGAGAGGATAGTGATGACTGAGGACAGTGCCCAGGCGACGGAATGGTTCGCGGCAAGGGTGTCGGTGAAGATGGCCCCCAACGCGGGATCTGCGGCGATGGCCTGCGATGGGCGCTTCGAGAAATTGTTGATGACAGCGGGAAGCGGCTTTTGGGTCATGAAAATGCTCCAGTCCTGTGGCAGAGGCGTGTTCGATCCGTCTTGGGTTGCTGAGCTACCTGAAGCGTCGCTTTGGATAAACGGACGCTCCTTCGGAGGAGGGAGGTCACCCGATAGACTCTGTGGCGGGGACATCTGTAGTACTCTACGTAGATGCTTGCTCTGCGTAGATTGGGGGAGAAGGTAGTTAAGAATGTCAGAAGTGATGAATGAGCCCCACCAAGCAAGTTGAGGTTCGGTTCGGTTCGCCGTGCTGGAGAGTGTGATGTTCAATACCGCTGCGTCCCATGGCGCGAAACAGAGAGACATAGAAGCACCCACGCCGGTAGCGTTTGCAAATACCAGGTCTATCCATTCGCTATTTGTTGCGGTGTTGTTGATATCGTTTGACTTTATTGTAGTGGGGTTTGATCCTTTGATGACTAGAAAGGCGGTGCCATAGCTAGTTGACCTCATGAAATGGCTGTTTAAGGAGCCTATAAAGCCAGGATATGGTTGTCCGACCTGACAGATCGAATAGTCATTCAATCCGGCAACCGCGCAATCAAAGCTTGTCGGATAAATCGTCTGCAACATTGTAGAATTCTTTGTAGTCTCCACAGTACCTTGGAGTTGAGAATAGTGTTCAGTACCATTGAATTGGGTGATCAAGGGCGCTTGGCAAGAAACACGTGCATCCAAGACGAGGCCATTTCCGGTGTAGCTATGTAGGGTCTGACGGGAATTGGCAGTGGCATAGGGCAAAAATGTACGCAACAAAACGCCGGTGTCCGTAATACCATTCTCGATATCCTTGACCGGACTTGAGTGCTCCCCGAAAGTTGGGTAAAACGGGGGGTTCGTTGTCCATGCCGCATCGCGTGGTATTCTTTCGCTGATGTTCATGTAGGATAGACTGGGCCGTACTTCAGTCTCGACGGCGTTACCACTGAGGGATCCAGGCTTCAAATCTGATAGTAGAAGTGTCGACGAAAACTGGAGGGTACTCGTTGTGGCAAGGAGAAGAAGGGCAATGATGTAGCATAGGTGATTTTTCCGCTGCTTAGCCGTAGTGAGCCACATCTCCTCCACCATCAGTTGACCGAGACTCCATGGGTTGGAAGTGCCAGCTCGCATAGGTGACAGGCTCGCGAGGTGGAACAAATGAGTGCCGGTGTTGGACTCGAGGAGTAATGATGCTATTATAGCCGACCCTATCGCGGCTTGAAAATCTATTGCCGTCCTCAAAAACAATGCCGTAATCGATACGGATCTGGTGGCCCAATTGGTAATCATGATCTTTTTCCATGTCTTATTACTTGCGTTACCAAACCACAAGCAGGCCAAGAATCCCAAAAGAATCAAAATGATAATCGATGTGCTGAGAAGGACATACAGCGTTTTCGTGCCGAGTCGGGATAATTCATGAAGCCTGGGAGGGGTGCGCGACTGATCAGTAGTCAAAAGCGCATCACTTATGCCCGAACTTGTCTCAGCTTTTGGATGGAATGCAATACTGCGTATGTTATTCAAATGAGTCTCGATAGATCAGTCGATATGTGGGCGCATACCTCTCTGCGCTCGGCCGCGAATCCTTGGATACTTTCTTCGGGCGCCGAAGGCATACCCACAATCCCAGAAGGGCACAGAGACCGATTATGAGAGCGCCAGACACTCCGATCGAAATCGTTGCATTCGGCCGATTGATCTTTTTCGTGTTGAAGAGTTGTTCATCCCACGAATATGTGACCGGTGGGCTTTGCGCTTTCCTTATCGACGATGTTACCGAAGGTGGGTCAACTGCAGGTACTCTGCTGATGTTGGTGCTCGTGTAAATTGAATCCAAATCTTCTTTTCGTAAGTGAGCGGGTCTAAGATCACCCTGCGGGCAATAGCCATTATATGCTGGGTTCGAGGCGCAGCAACCCCAGAAAGTGGCACGCTGGTTGATCGTAGCAAATGTCGAGACGGACCAAAAGTTGACATTATGGTCATAACAAGAGCCGTCAGGAAAGGTGCCCATAGTCTCCGGTTTGAAGGATACTGCGGCTAGGTCTTCTCCGGAGCAGCCATACTCGCAGGGAGATATTTTACAGCAGCCAACAAACAAAGTGCCTGTCGTACAGGCATACCATTGAGCGCCATTGCGAGGGCAGAAAAAGTCTTCCGATGAGGTCGTCATGATTTCTGATAAACTTCACCAGAGAGTTGGATGAAGGAATGCAGGACAATGTTGGCCAGGCGTAGAACGTGTGGGCCTTGACACGGGCGTGAGATTCTTTATCTATCATCCACGACCAGTGCAGTCCAGGGCGTAAAGCTAAAAATAGAAATGTGTGAACCTCAATCACTTTGTGCAGCCAATAGAAGTGTTTTGCAAAATACCATGGTATAACGTGGCCTGGGTAACAGTCGTGGATGGCTTGTTCTAGCCGGAATACGATATTCGTCTCCGATTGAAGGTAACGGAATGACCGTTAGACCAGGACTCTTGAACAACGACGACCTACCTTTTCCTTCGTATCAAAATTTCTCCATGTCTATCTTTTCCCCATGACGACCCTGAATTGATTTCAAGTCTCAACAGGATGTCAGCGCTAAAACCTACCGTGTGTTGGTTGGCCAAATATCGGCGCCTAGCCCGTTGAATCATGGTATTTCGCAATGCACCCATTCTGCTGGATTACGCCCTTGAGATATAGCGAATAGGAACATAGTTGGCCCGAGTGCCTGAGATTGTAATCCATGGCTAGGTTTGATTGAGCTCTTGGCGTGAGGGTAGCGTTTTGGAGGCTTCACTCAGATTTCACCATCACGGCAACACCTTTTCTTTATCAGCTAACAAAATTCCCCGGTATCTGAATATCGTTCTATTGCTAAGCAGCTGCGTGATGTGCTTACAAACGCCCACGAATCAAAACGTCATCCCAGCTGCCTAACCCCACTTCGGCGCAGCTGACTATGGACAACACCAAGTAGACAACACCAACGCGCTTGAACATAAAGTTAACATGGCCTCCTGTGCAATTTCACGTCTATCTTTATGTACTTATTCGCAAATCTACGCTCCCCCTTTCGAGTCCAACATTTGACGCGTATCACCTCGACACGAAACTTCGCAACAGAAACTACCATGACTTCACAATCACAGAAGCCGGTCCTCATCTCTGGCGGGGGCATTGCCTCGCTACTTCTCGCGCGCTCGCTCAACAGATCCAAGATCCCTTTTGTCGTCTACGAACGTGACGCGAGCATCGTGTTCCGCGCGCAGGGTTACCGACTTAGGCTGAGCGCAGTCGGCTTGGACGCGATTGAGAATGTATTAGGGCCTGAAGGGTTCCAGAAGTTCTACGATGCGTGCGGCAAGACAGGTGCGTGTCTCGATGATGCAGGCTAGAATCATCTCCAGGACACGTGACTGGACAAGGCTAATGGCTCGTTCAGGCGGCGCGGGCTTTGCTGCCATTGACCCCTTGACAGGCGAGACGCTCGGAGCAGAAAACCAGACGGTGAGCAAAGAGCCGCTTTCAAGTAGAGGCGCCAAGGTCATTGGCATATCACGAGGCGACATGCGGGAGCTGTTCATGGACGGCTTGGAAGACAACGTCCGTTGGTCACACCACGTTAAAGGCTACGAAACGACACCCACCGGCGTGCGCCTGATTTTTGCCGACGGATCAAAGTCGGAAGAGGGCTCTCTTCTAATCGGTGGTGAGGGTGTCAAGTCAGCTGTCGCCTCGCAACTCTCGAACGGGGCAATCAAAGTGTACGACCTTGGTGCGCGTGGGATTCATGGACAGGCGCCAACGACTGCCTTCCTAGGCCTTGGAGAGGGTGTGTTCCGCATGGTGGACGACAAGACGCAGGCCAACGGCGGCAAGGTATTCATCATCACAAACGTACGCGCAGACGACATGCACAACCCAGACATTAACTTTGGCTGGACCTTAGGCGGGTCGCCGGGCGTGATCAAGGCGCCGAATGACAACTACACCATCGTCGGCAAGGAAGCTGCTGATATTGCGAAATCTCTCACCTCACACTGGCACGAGCGTGTTAAACCGCTCTTCGACAACATGATCGAGACTGACGCCGCCTTTTGGAAAATCACATGCTCTAGTCCAGAGGGTGTGCCTGAGTGGCGCAACGAGCCGCGGGTGACGGTGATTGGGGACGCGGTGCACGCAATGACACCTGCGGGCGGGAATGGCGCGAACACAGCGGTACGCGACAGCGACCTTTTGGGTAGGCTGTTGAGGGAGGCGTGGGAGAAGGGCAACGGCCTTGACTGGGAAGGTGTAACCGCAGCGTATGAGAAGGAGATGCGCGTTTACGGCAGCGCCGCCGTGAAGGAGAGCTATGAGCACGCAACCGGGCAGTTTGGGATCAAGCTTGATCTTGCCACAACGCCCACTATCACCGACTACGTTGCGCCAAATTGATTGATGTCAAACACGCTTTATATATTGGATTGAGGACGTTTTCATCTTACGAGATCATGCTGCCACGACTCCTCGTGATCTTTCTGTTTCTGATATCAGATACGCGTTTTGAGTGAGCGAGCGAGTTTGAACAAACCACCTATGGTGTTACTGATTGAGCTTTCCTACCTACAAAACCCATTCCAAGATAATGCTATCCCACAAGATACCACGCCACTGCGTATACCGATCGACTGTGAAACTTAACGTGTTCTTCCCCTCTTTCAACCCACCAGCCGGAATCTCAAACTGCAAGAACCGCCACTCACCACTCGTAGTACCCGAGCGGTACAGCGCAGGATCATTCGTCAAAATATCCTTGCTCAGAACGCCGACTGTCGTATTGCCATTGAGATAGATAGTCAGCGCGGTGCTCTGTGAGTAACCCGCAAGCGAAACGGAGAGCAAAGCCGAGGCGTTGGTGTTGGCAGCAGGACATGTTGCATTGAAGACGACGTCCCACGATCCCAGCTTCGACGACGCGTAGTACCAGTCTGAGACGCGAGATGAACCGACGGTGTAGGTCAGATTTGTTGGGCCTTTCTCGGTCAGACCGTGCGTACGGGGAGCACCGCCGTTGGTGAAGCCGAGTGCTTTTTTGTCAAAGTCTCCGATTCGGAAGATGGGTTTGCGGTTTTGAGGGACGGTCCAGGTCAGGGTTTTCAGGTCATTGATTGTGCCGTTGGTGATGCTGATGCCGCTTGAGGTGTAGTTGGTGTATACGTCTGCGAGAGCTCCGCCGTTTGACGACGCAAACAGTCCATAGTTTCCGCTGCGTACGTTGGTAATGGAAAACGCGCCCGACGCATCTGCATAGGTGGTGTAGTAATAGTTCGAGCCTTGGACGAGTGGACGGATCGAAGTGTCCGCGTCGCCCAAAAACACGGCAGAACCCGACGCTGGGCGACCATCAGAGAGAACTAACTTGCCCTGCACGGCTCCGCGGGAATGATAGGCAGTGTCGTTGAGGAACGAGTATGGCCAGCTCTTGCGCTCCACAGCAGCACGGGCGCGCGCATCGTCAAGAGAACCGTCGTTCTGCATTGCAAATCAGACACATTCGGAGAACTGAAGCTGAGGGACTTACAAGATACCACAGCCATGGCCCCCAGATTTTGCCGCCAGGTTGAGCCGTCTTGACGCCAACTCGGAAGTGGGACGTGTCTTGTACTACATTCAGTTGAGTCGCGTCTCCGGTAGACGACTCGCGGTGGACCTTCACATCCGTCAGTGTGTATTTTCATTGCAAAGCATCAACGAGCCCGAACTTACCGTCAACGTCTGCGAGAGGTGGTTTCCCGGCTGATAATCATTGGAAGCATGGATATACCAAGATCCCGTCTTGCTACCATACACGCCGACGAAGTCCCGCTCGCGGACATAGTTAGCAAAGTCGTACTTGCTCACAACCGTCCCATCTTTGAACTGAAACGTCTCATCTTGAATCTCTGTCGCTCCGGCATAGAGCGCATAGTCTGGGAGTTTCTCGTTCTTGGTCGTGGTATAACCGTTCGTGAAGAGGTCGGGGTTGAGACGCCACAGTGTGCGGAAGATGCTGAGATCCGGCAGCGCCTTGTTGACAAAGTATTGATATGCGCCCGCAAGATCGGGATAGATTACCCAGTGGAAATCTCCGTACTGCGATGAGAAGCTGACGTCGATGTATTCGGAGGTGCTGGACACGATCTTGGCAGACGTGTACTGTAGGTTGGATTCTCCGTCTATCATGGTGGCATGCGTCAGTCAAACTTATGAAACATAACAGCGGATCTCGCCTTACCATAACCCGCGTAGTGGCCTGTAGCATTGCCAACAGCGTCCGAGCCCTGGAACCGTAGCTTAGTCGCATACGTCGGACCCTGCGTCACATTCCACAGATCATTGCCAATGACCCATTGCGTCGAGCTGACTTGTTGAAGGAACGGGCCCTTGGCTTCGCATAGTGTCACCGCCGAAGCGAGATATCCCAAGAGAGAAGAAGTTCGCATTTTTCCGATAGCCACAATGCTTTTGCAAGTCGTGCTCACGTCGCTTTTTTATGCCCTCGATTTGCGATCACGCAATTACCTGCCTGGAAGACGAGTACATGGAACAATGTACAGGATGGGACGTAGTCCGAAAGTGGATCAAAGCTTGATTGAAACAAGAGATTGTGGAGCAAAGCTTGAGTGGAATGAGTGGTGTTTCCGTTCCGCTTAGCGATTAACCCTGGTCGACGGAGTAATTTGCTCATTCAAATCGGACTTTGCGACATCAAGGACCGATCATGAAATTATCCATCGTGGACATTTCTTTTAGGGGCCTGCTGTCGATGGATCATGGTGTGAATATTCCTCCGGATCCCAGGTCATCGCTGGCGGAAGTGAAGTCTGATTTCCAGCTTCCGTATGAATCGAAAACAACAAGATCCTTGAAGCATTGTGAAGCTTACCTGCGGAGAAGTCTATCAATCCAACGAGTGTCAGTTCCTGTTCTCAAATGGGTTTCATGATTCTGGGTTGATTGACGAATTTGCTTACATCTGCTCTTCTTTCCCGCTTCCTGGACAGCAAAGCATATTCGTCGCTCAAAACTGGTAGTCGTACTTGTACTCAATCAAACCCGTGAAGGGGCTCGATCTTCTCACAAATAACAGTTTTATTAACTATCATCAACCATAGATATCGTGTGATTCGCCAAGATGTTGGATAATCGTCTAGGATAGGTTCTCGGACAAGTGGAGGAAGTGAACCTCACCCACTACTCTCGACAACACCTCGTTTGCTGCTCGTCTTTCCATGACGGCCTACAATCTAAGTACTGCAAAGAATGGGCCTCGTCGCAATGCCATCTCGGTCCGGAAAAAAAGTGATAGCAGAATCTTCCCAAGAACGATCTCGGATAGTCCTGCGAGTAAGCAACGCTATGGAGTGTCGACTACGAACATCACGACATCGCCGTTGAATGTAGAAGGCGAGGTGAACAGTAGCGGTTCGCGCTCTATGAACTCAATGAGTGTTTTTTTTCTTATGTTCATTCGATAAGCTAGTGTTGTATTGCGTACATCAAGATGGTGTATAGGTGCAACCACGTGCTTGCTTGATGAGGTATGAATGTCGCTGGGTGGCCGCCGTACTAGGTTCGTGGCTGTAGGCGTTGTGTATGTGAGTCTGTAGAGAAATATCGTGATACCTCAACATCCGAAATAACATGCGATTGTCCCACGGGCGCGTACAAGGCTTCAAGTCGCTTCTGCTGTGTTCTGCACTCGCACCTTCGAGATTTTGATGTGTGGACTAATGTGTAAATAAGAATACCTTGCTCGTTCTGTGTTGGGCCTGGGCTTGCAGTGTTGAGCATTCGGACCGGCATAGATTTGGTGGCGAAAATCTGTCAGGTGGGTGGGTGGCGGTGAGGCGTGCTGAGATGCGATGCTTCCAGAAGGTCGGTGAGATTCGGGCAAGTCGATCCCTGCATGTACACTTGCAACTCGATGTACCTGTTTGCTATCTCTATGCGAGAGCAAATCTCTCTGGGAACTTTTCTGCAATGCAGAGACGATTGACAGGGATTTGAACGTCTTTCGTTCAGGCGCACTCTTCCTTGCTAAGTCCGTCGACTTCTCCACGATCCCCGCGTCAAAGCGGCGAGAAAAGCTACAAAGTCCGGGGTACGGACCAGCCACAACGCTACATCAAACGCGGAAAAGACCCTGACGATCGCTCACTCGCCGCCCCTGAGGATTTTGTCCACCGCCTCCCAGACCCGCTGTGTTGTTCTTTAAAGTACATTCCCATCGCGCCTTCCCCGCGTTTTCGCTCCTTCCTTCACTCAAGACTCACTCGCTGTCAACCACAACACTCACTTCACATTCGTACCTGTCGTTGCAAGATCACAAAAGCAAATTAAATCATCAAGCCACCGTCGCTATATAAACCGCACTACACACCGCCATCTCCTCACTCCATACTACAACCACAATCACAACCATGTTCCCCCGCATCCTCACGCGTCTCCCCGCCGCCGCGCGCGCCGTCCGCTACAACTCCTCCAGCTCCTCGAGCCCTGCGGCGCGCGTCATCGAAATGGCAGCCCGGGCTGAGCGACCGAGTACGTTTCCCTTACCTTTCTCTTAAAAGAAGTCGTACCTTGCTAACACGCTTCCAGCCACCGCAGAAATCTCCGTGCCCCTCCTCTGGGCCGCGACAGCTGGTCTCGCTTTCACAGCGTGGAACCGCATGGACGAGCGTGGTGCAGCGGGGAATGTGGAGAAGCTGCTTGTTGTTTAGACGGGTGTTTATCTTTAAGCTTGGTGTTTGGGATGAAGGGACTGGGTTTGGCGTATAGTTATGGGAGCGATAGAACGCGATAGACTGCGTACTCGTTCTTTTCGGGCCGGCGATATGGCGCTTACGCATAGATATGTTTTGCGTTGTTGGGTATGGGTGTCGATGGAAATGGTTATGAATACGGATACGTGCATAGGCCATCGGTATCTGGTTATGGGATAACGCGTATTTGGCGTTTCGATGCTTTGGCCATCTAATCCACATGCCCATTTTCTTCACATCTTCGCCTTTCTTTCATGTGAGAACCGTCAATACTGGCTTGTTTGTACCCTATTACAAGGAAAACATCACGTGGTCGACTTAGTGATATTGATGAAAGTGATGCTGATGTGGGACTTGCTGACGGGCGCGCAAGGAATGTGTGGACTTGGAGTGAAGTAGTGTCTTAGGATTCGAGGTATAGCTGCGATATCATCGAGTAGTGGTTTTGAGTATGAGTTGTGATTCTTTTGAAGAGGGATTTTGTGACATCTCTTAATCGGTTCTCGCCTATGCATATGAATAAGTTGATTGTAATACGGGAGTTACGTGCACAATTTGGTCTATCTACAGTATTCAGTACTATTATCCAACGACACATCTATCCCACCCTTATTTCGCACTTTACTAGTCCCAGCCAGCTCTCTCCTCAGTGCTCGCAAAAGCTGTACGTATGCTGCTGCCATCCCTTCTCAGCCGTGTCGTGGAACGCACTTCGCTCCTGCATCAGCTTGGCGCGATGCTCTCTCGCTTCCTGCATACTCATCGGCAGCGTGTCTGCGTCAGCGTCAAAGTGCTCGCGTACCATGTCCATGAGCTCTTGTGGGAGTCGTGGGTTCTCTCCATCAGCTTCAGGGCGGCTCGCGTCAAGGCCTTTCTGTTCCAACAGGGCTACAAGCTCAGGCGGGAGCTTCGACATGGCTTCTGCGCGCGACTCGGGCGTGGAACCGAGCACGGAGTCGGCCCACCAATCCATTTGCTGTGGTGGGACGTTGGCTGTCGAGATGATGCGCTTATTTGGGTCGACGAGCCACAGCGCGATGAAGCGGCGGTGGCCGGGCTTGGTGGGATCGATGAGCTTGAAAGGCGAGACGCGGTGCTGACTGTGCGATAGCGTCAGGGTGAGAGACTTCTCCAGTCGGCATTACGGGTACTTACAAGACGTTTGGAAAAGCTAGCAGTCTACCCTCACGCGTCTCAACACTACCGTAGTTTTGCAGACATGGCGAATTGCCATTCCCGAAGGATGTACCAAAAACGCTTTCCATCCAGTGATACGCGTCTTGTCCGACGTTAAATGGGGCGTCGTCGTTTAGGTATGCTGATGTTTGCATGCGAAACGACAGATTGCTCCCGGTGATGTTTTCGCTATCGAGGTAATACAGCGCGGTGGCGCAGATGTGTTCGTTCATCTGGCCCTCGACGTGCCAGCCTCCAACCGGGAATTCTGGCTTCTCAGGCGTCAATTCGATGGACGCCATCTTCACGATGATCTGCAGCCCAGACTCGCGGTATCGGTCAATAAGACGTTTGCCAGCCTTGGGCGCATAGTCCACTTCCGTAAAAGGTGGTTCGGGCATGGCTGCTTTGCGCACAGAGTGCCACTTCGCTCGCAAAACTACGTCTTCTGTAAGGTCGTCACGTTCATAGCCTTCCTCTGCCATGAATTCCTCCGCGTCGAATTCTACATCATTACACTCGGCGGCGTTGTTCGGAGTCCAATTGTCGTCGTTTTCGTCACTTGTTGCGCACTTCAATCAGCCACATCGCTACATCGGAAGTTTGAGGATTCACTTACTCTGCATTGGCTGGTTCGGGAAATCGAGGCGCCAACCGTCCAGCGCCTTCGCGTCCACTGTACTTCACAGCCAGAGCAAGACATTGATCCCACATTGGAAGAGAAGTCTCAATCAGCTTTTCAATGGTTCGGTAGATACCGGGGTACTTGGTAGGATGGAGGTTGTTGACATAGCTGGTGAACTTGACAGAATTATCTTCCTGGAACGCGACGTTCGCTGGCAACCATTGGTAGGTGTTTGACCAGTAATCAGGCGGGACTTCGCCACTGCCTACACCGTATCGTACTCTATCTCTGGGATTGAGGGTTGAAGTGTCTTTTGCGATAACGTCACCTTTACCAGCCCACTTTTCGATAGCATCTGCCACTCCCACGACTTCGTCCTTCAAAACCCGGGTGCGGCCATAGACTAGAGGAAACATGGACGGGTGAACTAGGTCCTGAACCATGTCTTGGGAATTCGGATGCCAGTCAGGGGAAGATGCATGGCTGGCTTTGATCGTTTCAAAAGCATCTCGCAAAGCATCGTGCAACTCGGGAGAGACCAGGGTGTCTGATTTGGCAACGGACGCACATGCATCGAGAGTTGGTATGATTCCAGTCTTCTCGAGAAATGCGGCCTTGCTGCGGAGTTCCTCGATACACTTGCCGCGAATGTTAGGAGTGGAAGAGATAGTCGAAAATAAGGATACATACGCAATCAAATGTCTTCTCCGTCATAATTCCTTCCAGTGGTTCGACGTCACTATCGTTCTGAAACTGGAACATTTCAGTAACGTTGTTCCGGTACATGCGCTTTGCGCTTGTTGCCAGCTTCCACAACTCATAATTCGGAATAGCAAGGGCTTCTTCGCGCCACTTGGCCACGATCTTGTCGTCAAAAACCTTTTTGTGCCAATCTTCTTTTTCCGTAAGCTGTTCCATGACACTCATCATGGCCACCTCACGGACGAACAAAGGCTTCGTGTCCGCTGCGTAGTTCGAACCATGTGCGCCAATGGGGTAGAAGCCATAATTGCGCTGATCGTTGTGGCGAAGCGGAAGTCCAAGACCAGGATAGTCGCGCATGACTGGACGTGGCTGTTGTTCGGAAACGTTTTTCTCGGCTTGCTGGGAAGATGAGGATGAGGCCGCGTTTTGCTTCTTGATCAATGATGTTCTGGCCATGTTGAGTATCGCTTGTGAGAGGGATTTTGATGCTTTATAAACACAGCGTCCAGCGAGCATGTACTTGAGGCGAGTGTTGTTCAATTGCACTACCCAAGGCTGCAGGGCGCTGCCTGTTCGAACTTGATGAGAAATCCAGGGGATGGCGCGAGGTGAGGTAGCTTATGTACGCTAGCGCAGGCAGCAGTGGCTTACATGACTCGATTCACAAACACCACGGGGCATAACTATCATCACAGTGTCTACAGAATCAGCAACAACGACACTCTACAACTACAACTAACGACGAGTCTTTTAGTAGCGGGAGAGTAGGAACCAACAACTACAATAATCAGCTAGCCAGAAACAGCCTAGAAGGGTGACGTCACCGCCTTGCTCCAAACCCTCAAACTGTCGCCCACGAGATTTCGATGAATACACAAAAAGATCAAACTATGTCGACCTCACGCCCGTTCCCCTCCGTAACGGGGGGATGTTTCTGCAACAAGATACGCTACCGGCTCCTCACCGCGCCGCTCTTCTGCTGTGCCTGCTACTGCAGCGACTGCCAAAAGATGTCCGGCAGCGCCTTCGTCACATATGCCATGATTGAAACAAGCAACATCTCCATCGAGTCAGCAGTCAAGCCAACCATGGTTACATTTGCGCCAAAGCCCGGGCTTGTCAGCATACGCGCGGAGTGCCCGCAGTGCAGGATCCAAGTGTGGGGCCATGACAGGAGCTGGGGGACTGCCGTGGCGGATGTAAGAGTCGGGACGCTGGACTATCCGAGCTTGATGGAGCCAGATGTTCATGCGTTTGTGGAGGGGAAAGTCGATTGGATGCGTTTACCCGAGGGCGCGAAGACTACGGTGAAGGACTCCAATTATCGGGATCATTGGCCAAAGAGCAGTCTGCAACGGTTGGATCTGTGTCTGGCGAGAGCTGCGGAAGTGGCGAAGCGGAAGGAGGAAAGCTCTGCGAGTGAAGTTACGAAAACCACAGGAGACGCGCGGGATGTGGAAGAATCTGGCGGCGAAGGCGACAAGACACCTACGGGTGTTGATGTCGATGCTGATGCTGATGCTGATGCTGATGGCGATGGGAAGGAAGACGAGGATGATGAGGCGTTTGAGAGACGATTCAGAGCAACCGAAAAAGCACTGCAGGAGAGATTGGAGCGGCTGAGTCTGAAGCTCAACGAAGACAAGCAGGATGATGTACAGAGCACATCCAAACCACCGCCATGAGCCGGCATTACCTATTAGATCTACGATTCATTGATAACATACACCACATACATTCCACGACCCGCAAGCTTCAAATACCTCACGGCCATACGAATTGCACTACTCTTTCATATCCGCTATGCATTAGATTCCCCAGCGTCTCTAGAAATCAAATGACAAGTGCAAGTCTCAACTCCTCATGTGTTATTACACAGCACGTACATACATACATAAATAGACCCGCCTCTAACAGCACTCCCGACCCACTCTGTTTGAATCCACATTATCTCTCACGCTCCTTGCATTTCACTCTCCCACCCCTCCACACAGCGCCCACCACCAGGCAGGTTCTCAGTCATCCGAAACCCCAGAAAACAAGCCTCTTCACCACCTTCCAACACGATATAACATTCCTGATTGTAAACATTCCACAGACATAAAAAAGACAAGTATATGAGGTTTGGACGTATGTTAAGTGGCTTGAAACCATCATCTCACGTATCTGCAAGATCCTCGCACCACCCCGTCAAAAGAAACTAGACAGTTTTCGTTCTCTGTACTCCTGACACATCACAAAACTGTCCAGGCTTTTTGACGGGGTGGTGCTCGTATACCAATCTCTCGATTCTCCCCAAGCCGGCGAGTATACAAGGTCCTCAACATCCCACCCATCTCCGCACCCCCAACCACCCAAGCAACATCGACCGTACCGTACCGTAGTATCTCCACCCCATCGCAAAACCCGCCAGAAGACAAGCCTCCCCTCACACCACACTGCTATATATCAGAAAGAAAGCATTACGATATCGAAGCTGACTCTCCCAGTCGTCTAGCCACGGTATTTACTTTGCTAAAGCTTCGTTTCGCTGAGTTCACCTATGGGTTTTTGGTTGATTATCAAGGTGTTTGGCAGAGAATGGGAGTGTGTGCGTGTTCTGCATATTTGATCACGGATGGTCAGCTTGGCGGCAATGGATGCATGCAAGGCTGTAAACGCGTGTATTTTTCTGCTTGCGTGAAGCTCCGTGGATCGAGTGATTAAGCAGTATTTCTCCAATGGTGACAAAACTACGAGTTCTCAAAAAAAAGGAAAAGAATGCAGTGAGCACTACACGCATCAGATGTGAAAGGGGGGGTTAGTAAGTAAAGTAGTGCTGGGGACAAGACTAAGAACGACATAATGGCGCGAAGCAAGCACATCCTGTCAATATCGCGAATGTGATCAACAAAACAACGCACAGGTCAAGAATACAAGTCCTATGGTACACCCCCCCCCACTCCCCTCAATCCCCCATAAATCCCCTACACCGTCGCATTTCTAAACGGATTCCTCATCTCGGGCAAATACCTAAACACGCCCGTCTTCTGCGGCGGCTCAAGCTCCAGCTCCGGCTCATCCCGCAGGGCCATAATAGCATTCTCATCCCCCTTCTCCTGGGCCTCATCCCTCAACGCGCTCAGAATCCTGCTAACCTCGTTATTTTTCTCAATCTCAAAGTCCTCGGCGGACAAGTACGTAATGTCGCTGCGGATATTGTTCACGCCCAGGACGTCGTGCAGGATAGCCTCGGGCCAGTTGCCGGCGGCGTGCGAAGCGTCGATGATGTCCGCCCATTTGATGGAGACGTCTGTTAGGGAAAAGGGGGTGGGGAGTGTATTTTTGAGGACGCGGGGCAGGACGGAACGAGCGATGTGGTGGTCGCGGGCAGCGGCCTGAGCTTTGAAGATGAAGGCCTGTTCGAGTTCGGCGATTCTCTCCTGGCGGCCGCGGAGGAGGTGGCGGATGTGTGCGGGGTGTTCGTCGTCTGGGTCGGGGAAGTCGAGCCTCGTCTGCAGGGTGCGGGCTTCGCGTTTTAGCTTTGCGAGGTGCTCGGTGGCATTGAATTTGTTTGCGTTTGCGGCTTTTTTGGTGAGGGCGTCTTGGGCGTCCTTGAATTGCTCGGCCTTTCGGCGCGCGTAGGTGATTCGCTTGAGACGGGTTTCGAGGCTGGCTTTTGCGGAGGAGAGGCGCTTCTGGTCGGCTTCGTTCTGGTTGTGCTTCATCTTTAGCTTTGTTGTCATGGAGCGGATTTGGTGTTCGAGCCACTTGGGGTTGTCGGCAACCTTCTCCTTGGCCACGGCGGCGTTTGCGAGGGCGTCGATCTGCGGCCACCTCTTGTTCATGAACTCGGTCGCCTTGCGTTGCTGCTCGTCATACGCCTCTCGCATGGACACACCCACCTTGTCCTGTATGTGCAGGACCTCGGCGAGATCGGCACTCATGTTCGCACGCTGGTCCATGATCCTGTGCATACGGTCCTTGGCGCTCATGTGCTTCCATGACGGGTTGGTCTTTTCCCACGACAGCTCGTGCAGCTTGCGGAACTCGCGCAGCTTTCGGAAGGCATTGTGGCCCTGTTCGGGGGTGGGGAAGGTGACGACACAATGCGGTATCCACTCGTCGGGGCGCAGGGTGGGGGGCTTGGAGTGCTTGCCGATGAAGGGGAGCTGGGCGAGGTGGTGGTTCTGGGGGAGTCAACACACTGTTCAGCTCACGTGATTCGGGTGTCCTACATCCAGCAGCTCCTGCAGCGAGTAGATGATCTGGTTGGTCTTTGCATTGCGGAAGACGTAGATGACCTGGCCGTGGCGTGTCGTTCCCTCGGGGTCGACGTGGTCGGCGAGCGTGAAGGGCTTGATGGGTCTCAGCGCCGTCTGGCCCGACGACTGCGGCTTCGACTTTGGGTTCACGACTGTCTGGAGGCGGATGTGCTTGGGGTTCGACTGGCGCACGACATGGCGCTCTACCCGCTTCTCCAGCTGCGACGTGTACTGCGGGTGGGCGGCGTCGAGGCGGGCGAAGTTGATGGGCGCCGGCGGCTTCTTGTACGTGAGCCGGGCGAGAGTGCGGGGCATGGCTGCGGGCGATGCGGCGATGCCGGTGCAATTGGGGCTGGTGGTGCAGGAAATGCAGAAGTTCGAGGCGCCAAGACACGGTCAGCGCCTCCTCCGCGCGCTCCAATACGACAGCTCGACGGCCGTCCATTCACTGCGCCAACGTCACTCGTCTTCCTACGATGCGGCGGGTGAGGATTACCTGCAACGCGTCCTCGAGCTTCCTCCAGCATGCGCCAATGAGCCACAGCTTGACGTCCACGTGCATCATCTCCGCCGGCGCCGTCGAGGCAGCACCGGCTACGTAATATGGCCAGCCATGAGCACGCCCGTGCAGCGAACCATCCACCTCCACCCCGTGAACGGCCGTGGTTGTTGCCTTATGTGTGTTGCCTGAACAACGCATGTCGCCCTGGCTGACAATGGGCGTAGAACCGCAAGCTCCGGCATCTTCAAGGCATCACCATCCGCAACCTCACCCTCACCCTGACCCCTCCAAGGATGCGGGGGAAAACATTCGACGATGAAGCCATACCCAGCACGCTCAAGTCGCCTGCAAAGTTCCTCGCCCTGAGTGAGAACAAGGGATTGGGGCACTCCCGCTCATCCAGCGACCTGAAGACCAAGAGCGATGCCTCACGACATGCGAATGGAGGCTTGCGCGCGTCAAACGCACCTCCCAAACCTGAGAGACCTGTCAAGGGACTGCGCAGGCGGAGCACGCTGGAGTGGATTAGCGCCAGCCCATTGACGCGCCAGAAGAAGCTCGAGGACATTTCTGCAGGCCGTCAAGCAGACACCTTCTTCACCCTACACATCGACGGCCAGCAGGAGCCCGTATACATATCCGAAGTCGCGGAGAAGGCCATGAATCCAAACTTCAAATTCTTCGAACTGGGACCATGTGGGCCACGCGTGACTCGACTTGACAAACTGACCGTCAGAGTGTGGGCCAAGACCGAGACCATGAAAGACTGGCAGTACTTGATCGAGTATACGCCACATTTCAAGTCGTTGCAGTTTATTGGAAAGACGCTGGGAAGCTTTCGACACGCACTTCCGCAGAACTGCATACTTTTCCACATGACTGACGGCATCTACACCAGCTTCATGGACTTGGACGTCAAGGAAAGGGCACAACAAGCAGTCCTCGCACCTCCCAAACAGCATCCAGAGGGTAAAGTGCTCAACTCGTCTTCCTACGACGCACTGATGCGACTCTCCACCCTGGACGATTGCATCCAGGACGCATTGACCACACGGGACGGCATTGCTAGGGAAATCGAGACCATTCTAGAATCAAACAGAGAAGCGATCTCAACGGTGGAGCAGGTCCCCGAAGCTGAAGATAGCTTGAGAACAGTGCAGGCTGCAGCAGCCGCTGAGAAACGTCGAGTCGACGCTGTGCGCCGAAAACGAGACGAACTAACAGCAAGCATCAAGTCCCGGCGAGAGAAGATGTTCGCCGGGCAAGCACAGCAGACTGACATTGACACCAACCTGCCCACCCAAAAAGATAATCACACCGGGATGGGGGATCTGGTAGACAAGATCGAGGAGGATGTCGCAGGACAACGGCGACGTATATGCGAGGACATACTGCGAATCTTCCCCATTGAGCCCGTTCCTGGCAAGTCTTTCTCTTTCACGATACGCGGCCTCTTACTACCCAATTCTGAGTTCGACGACGTGAAGGAGGATGTCACCACTGCAGCGTTGGGGTACGTAGCTCAAGTCATCAACCTCCTCTCGCCCTACCTGTCAGTAATCCTACCCTATCCGATAACACCGCTCGGCTCAACTTCCACCATCGAAGACCCCCTAGCCATGGGCCACAGCAACCAGCACAATCCCCGCACCTACCCTCTGTACATGAAAGGCGTCGTCCGCTACCGCTTCGAGTACGGCGTCTTCCTCCTCAACAAGGACATAGAGATTCTATCAAACGCCCTTGGCCTCCGCCCAGTCGACATACGCCACACACTGCCCAACCTGAAATACCTCCTGTACGTCGCAACAGCGGGCAAGGGCGAACTGCCAGCGAGGAAATCAGGCGGCATCAAGGGACTGCTGCGGCATGATGGCGCTCACTCTAGGCGGGGGAGCGTGGATAGCACGGCGACGGCGAGCAGTTTTGGCGCGATTGTTACTGAGGCGAAGGGGAAGGTTGAGGGTGTTGGGGCGGGGGCGAGGAAGACGGAGATGTCGTCTGCGGTGGCGAGCTTGAAGCAGAAGACTAATACGCTTCCCGGGAGTAGATTGAGGCCTGTTGAGTAGGGGGGATCTTATCTTCTGTGGGGAGGTGGTGTGGTTTGTGTGTAGATATGATACCTTTCACAACTACAATTAAGTATTCATACTACAAGCTCTTTGGATAGATGTGAATTTGTGAACCTAATAAGTCGCCACACCATTAATACTGTAGAATACACTCATATCGGCCATTTGAAAATCCTAATACCTTCTCCCCCATTAATGCGCTAAGCTCACAAAATCAAAATTCAAAAACCCCCAATTCCCTACAACATCACGAGGTTCCCCTGCATGTAGAGGTGGATGTTGACATGTTGACCCTGAACTAGGTAGTTGTAGGTTGATGGGCTCCGCACGAATCGCATCGAATGGCCCATCGGGCGTCTTGGCAACTTCACCGTAATTTGCGAATCGGGGTCGGAAAGGAGATGTGTGGTTCCGAGCGCCGTGCATGAATATCAACCACGGCCGACTCGGCTTCTTTTTCCTTCTTTCTTCCACTTCCAATCCGCACCGGAACCTCTTGCGAAGGGAGCTTGTGAATTGAGTTGTGTGCTGGTTTGGCTGGTCTTGAATTCGCTGGTGAGATTGGGATTGTTTGATTCTGGCTCGCTCCGAAACCTCCGGCTTCCTCTGCCCTCGCTGGCTCGCCCTCTTGCAAGTCAGCTCGCAATGACGGAACCCTTCCCAGCACTCCATGGCATGCCGCTCAAGGCGCCAGCCGGTGGTGCCATGCGGAGAAGAAAGTCTAGTGCGATTGGAGGGGATCTGCACGGCGATGTGGATGTGCCCTCGTTTGCGACGGCGAGGACAAACACACCGCCGCTGAACAGTCCGACGGGTGGAGATGGGGTATGCACATCCTATATTCATCCACAGGTGAATGTATTCTAACACGTACGCAGAAACTCGACAAATCCGCCCGCCGCTCCAAACGCCGCACCGTCCGCCGCGGCCTCTCCAAATTCAAGCGCCTCTGCATCCGCCATACCTGGCTACTCCCGCTCATCCTCAGTCTGACCATCGTCGCCCTGTACCTGGTCTACCCGTACCCCTCGAATCCCATCGCGTCGTGTCTATTCCTGTCGTACGCGCTGCCACGCGACCACCCCCTCATCCCCGCCGCCGTGCGCGCAGACCCCAATTCACCAACATACTACGGAAAAGGCGTGCGCGACTTCGCCTTCGTCGGCTTCTACATCATCGTGCTGAGCTTCACGCGCGAGCTGTGCATGCAGCGGCTCATCCGGCCGATTGCGGTGCGCTGCGGGATCAGGGGTCGTGCCAAGCAGAGCCGCTTCATGGAGCAGGCGTACACGGCGCTGTACTTTGGCTTGTACGGGCCTTTTGGACTGTATGTCATGTCTCGCACGCCTGTGTGGTACTTCAACACGACGGGCATGTATGAGGGGTTTCCGCACCGCACGAATGAAGCGGTTTTCAAGGCGTATTATCTGCTGCAGGCGAGCTACTGGGCGCAGCAGGCCGTCGTCCTGCTTCTTATGCTTGAGAAGCCGCGCAAGGATTTTAGGGAGCTGGTTGCGCATCATATCATTACGTTGAGCTTGATTTGGTCCAGCTACCGGTTTCACTTCACGTACATCGGTATCGCCGTGTACATCACGCACGACATTTCGGATTTTTTCCTCGCCGTAAGTCGTCTTGATGAGTAAAAGACGTAAGAATAATGGACTAACTTTTATCCAGACGTCCAAACTCCTCAACTACATCGACTCGCCCATCGTCGGCCCCTACTTCTTCGTCTTCATGTGCGCCTGGGGCTACCTACGCCACTACATCAACCTGAAGATCCTGTACTCCTTCACAACGGAATTCCGCACCGTCGGCCCCTACGAGCTCAACTGGGAGACGCAGCAGTACAAGTGTCCGCTCAGTCTGGCGATTGGGGGGGGCCTGCTGGTCGCGCTGCAGGCGGTGAATTTGTTCTGGTGGTTCTTTATTTGTAGGATTGCGTATCGCTTTGTGCTGTTTAAGACGGCGGATGATGATCGGAGTGAGTATGAGCCTACGGATGAGGAGGGGGAGGGGAGGGAGGTGGAGGGCGTGGTTGGGGAGGCGAAGAAGGTGCTGGGTGTTGAGGAGGGGGATGCGTCTGTGTTGGTGGAGCAGGCGGAGGAGCGAGGGTCGATTGGGGAGCGCGTTAAGCAGCGGAAGAAGGCGGGGGTGTCGTGAGGACGTCGACTAGAAAGCCGTGGTGTGGATGAAGTTTTGTGAGTCGTGGCATACCCGGTTGGGGTGCTTGTTGCATAGCGGGTGTACTGTTCCATGGCTTATTTACGCGTCGTCGATATAAGAATGCTGTTCCGGCACAATAGAGGTAAATACTCGTACTTGACTTGTCACATTACGTGCGCTGCTTGAACGAGACGAGGTGATAAGATGGAAGTAAACATACAAACACTCACTTCTACTGAAAATCGCCCTCACCAATCCATACCGAGCCGAGCCGCATATGAAAAAAGAAAATACCGGCATGTCATGTCTTCCACAACTCCAAGTAGGTACCCAGAATACCGTAAAGTTCCGCTCAACTTCCGAGCTATGCCAACAGCTACGTTATCTCCTGTTGCAGGCCGGAAGAGGTTGGCGTAAACCGCCTACTAGCGTTGTGCTATTGAGCAAAAATTCTACTGTAGAGATTATGGTGTAGCAACGCTGGTCTAGCCTCGGTAGCCTACATGAGCTTACATCTCAGTTATTAATACTATCTTGTCTACAAGCTTAGAATTGAGCCTATCTATAAGTCTGTTTACGATAGTGCTTACGGTTATGCTTATCTACGATAGAGCGTAGCTACGAGTCTACTTACAAGTTCATCTACAAGCCCCATCTATTGTAAGAGAGTGTAGTGTATCGTCAAAGAATCTCGTGCTCAATGCGGTGGGTGTTAGATGGATTGTATTGTGTTATTCTTGTGTAGTGTGTGTGTGTGTGTACCTGACTTCGTCTAATGCCTCTTCAGCCACGATTATACGGTATATTGAGGCTGCTTTAGTCGCTAATTCAAGGGGTCTTTGGTTAGTGTTGCTAGGCTGCTTTGCTATGCTGTAATCGAGCTTGAATTTGAGCTTACGATTAAGCTAGGAGGTAAGGTAGACATGTATAGCTATAGTTATATGCATAAAATATATCACTGTGTACTATTACTAATGTTTACTGTGTGCAAAAGGGCTGGGTATTAACTTCTACACTGAGTTACTATACTAGATTCTTACTATGTTGCGTCTGTCTGCTTACAGCAAGTATGAATACGCTATAATCTAAAAATAGTATATAAGATGTGTAATATTATGGTAAAATCTTTGAATGTTCGTACTATTCTACTTTTTTAATAATACTTTTTGCAAAATATCTTACATTTATACTGTATTGCACTGTAGAATGCAATGTAGAATGCAGTGTAGAATTCAGTCTTTTATTAGTGTTTTTTACACCTTAGAACTGCGGTGTAAATTCCCCGATCTTGTACCCTGGCAGTACCGTATAAACTTGCACAATCCGATAAATGCTAGACAGGGGTTGTAGCGAAGCGAGTCGACCTGCGAGTGGTGGAATATGCACAGCCACTCTGCGCCACTAAGTGTACCCAATCGTTAACGTTCGCTTCGTTGCAGACCCTGTCTAGCATTTATCGGATTGTGCAAGTTTATACGGTAGTCGAGTGCAGAAGTTCACCGCGAGCATGCTCACGAGCGCTACGTTGGCCTCTCACAAGCCCTTCTCCTCATACCGCATAACAAGTGCGGGGTCGGCGCGTTCCATGCGCGACATGTCCCCTACTATCTCCCCAAGCAGACCCCCTCACTCGTCAAATACACAGCGTAACCGTTGCGTCTCCTGCTCGCCAACATGTCCGACATGATCGAGCAACTCGCATGCTATAAGCGATGCACTAAAGTCGCACTCGACTGGGTCTGGAGTAACAGCAGCCAATCGCGTAGAAACACACGGCAGGCCTTTCACACGACGGCCAAGATCGTGGTAGCTGCGGAAAATATCCGCGCTGCTGGGAAACAGGTTCCGGGGTATGTCGTTACAGCGCTGCGCGACGCTATCAGATATCGATGGCGGTTGCACAGTGCTTTTGCGGCGGCTGATGCTGGCTCCAAGGCTGAGGAAGTAAGAGCAAGAGACGATCGTCATAAGGTCTTTATCATGCGGTGAGTTGCGGCTGTCTTAGGGGCGTGGATTGTCTGCTTATCATATCGCGAAAGTCTGCAGAAGACGTTGGATATGTTGCTTCCTTTGGAAGACAAAAGTCCTGCTGCGATGATGCACTGCAAGCATGAACAAGTTCGTCAATTCACGAGGAATGACCAGTCTAATCGCTTTCAGTCCCTTAGTGAGGTCGAAGATAGGGGGGCTGGGCATGTTCACGTCGATGCTATCCAGACGGATGTCGTCGAGCCTGCAGAACCCGGGATATCTGAGACAATTCAGCTGCCCTGGGCTATAGAAGATATGGTTCTGAAGGACGACGAGTTTGCAGAATACTGCTCCCTGAGCATATTAATGAATGTAAGGCCAGTCCTCTTATTCATAACAGTCACGTGGACTGAATTAAGCGTAGGAGCTCGATACACTGCTAGAAACGACGAACACGTATTGGGCAGAGGCAGCGGATGGAGGGATGCCCATCCCGGTAGCAGCATGGCTGTCTACTACTGTCTTTCACGCCGTGGCAAGAATCTTCACCAGATACAGTACCATCGCTCCATCCTACGACGTCCTGATGGAGAAGTGGTTCAAGCACCGCGAAATATGGCCGTGGCGCATCCGATTCCGTGATATCCCCGCGCTGAGTAAAGAGGAAGGGCCGTGCTGGGATGGCATCGCCCTTTGGTACTATGGCAAACTGCTCAGTGACTGTAGAACGCAGAAGGAGTATGAGAAAATCGTTCCAACCGCGGGGAGTAGGCAGACGCCGCAGATGCTTATTCCCAACCCCGCGACGACCTCCTATCGCGACGTGGCCGAATACGACAACGCCATGGACAAGATGCAGGAGAGCATGCGTCTGGGCCTCGTGGAGAAGCGAGGAATTCGCAAACTCGAGCCCGCCGGGGCGCTGCAGTATGTCTGCGAGCCGCTGCTCCCAGTGCTTGCGAGCGCGCTGGCCAACAAAAACGACCCCGTGCCCTTCCATCTCGTCTTCGGCTACGAAATGCTTCTCTCGTCATTCAAGACGCATCTCTGGCGTAACCCACGGCAAAACTGCCGTCTCGCCGCCCTCCGTCTAGCCATGGAGGTGAAAAGCGAGGCCGAAAAGGCCGCAGACCCGGCGCTCTTCAACTGCAAATGCACAGCCAAAAATTGTATCCTGTGCACCATGCAATGGGGTCTTGCTGATACCGCGTCCCGTCTCGATGCCTACGTTCGGGAGGTCAGATTCGACCTGTACTACCAAGCCCCCTGGACGGCGGGCTGCCACATGGTCGAGACGCTGGTCTTCGCCCGCTACGAGGGCTTGAATCTGTGTCTCAGCTCCGGCATCGTGGCCGCGCTGCTGCATCTGTACAACGCGCTCGTGCACGTGAGCCCTGCGATGCCGCGCGTTAAGCTCCTCGATGACTTCTGCGCTCTGTTCAAAGAGCAAGTCTTCCTAGGCACCTTGCCCATGGACAACTTCTCATCGCATTTCCGCCGCGCAATGGGCGGCAAGTTATCCAAACCCGGCAGTGAAGACGGCCCCTCCTCCCCGTCGTCGTCGCGCATTGCCCTCCCGACAAAAGCACAACTCACACACGCTATCAAACCAGGCTCCTCGCTCTTCTACGACATGCATAACTTCAGCTTCGCGCCCACACCTGCTATCTGGACACGTGCATACCTCGGTCCCGGCACCGCGGCCACGTCGGCCAAGAAACAGCGCGACGTGCTTGACCTCGTCCACACCGCGCCCTTCAACGTGCCGCTAGGGAAACTCGGCGACGCGGTTATGTCCGAGTTCACTGGCTCGCAGCCCATGATGCGCATCAATTATTTCGCCATCCACTCTTTCTGCGCCCGGGTGATGCGCGCGCTGGACGAAGCGCTGCTGTATGGCAGCAAGGTGCATGGCGTGCATATCGTGGATGACTTGCTGGGGGGAATTATGCGGCATTTGGGAGATGACGGGGCAAGACGGGTGCTACGATTCTGGGGGCCGATGGTGTGTGTGAAGAGGGTTTTTGGGGAGGTGGATGGGCAGAGAGGAATGGAAGGGTTTTTGTGGCGCGTTTAACGCGCTGGATAGGTTTATGGCGGGTCAGTGTTGGGAGTGCGCATAGTGGGATTATATTACCGGTCTATGACATCTTACCGCGCTGTGTGTCTGTTTTTGATGTCCCGTTTAAATACTCAGTGTCTACTAGTCGTACTTACAACTCAGATGCTGGCTCGTGCGTAGTTGGGCCAAGTAGCCCCCCAGCCAAACAAAACAAAACATACCCACAAGCACAAATACAACACGCCGTGAAGAGAACAATCCCAACCAACGAAGCCACCCGATCAGCAGCGCGTCGATCCGCCCTCACGCTTAGCTCGATATCGAAAGACGTAACCCAAAACAAAACCTACTTGCTATACAGCATAGCATGTCCACGTTAATATGCGTACGCTGGCCTGATGCGCAGTATGCAATACGCCTAGCCTCGTTCCATATCATCTTGCTGTGTCGGGTTTCAGCGCTTAGGATAAAAACCTTCTTGGTATTTCTCTGCTGCTGATGGGTGGGGTAGATTATGTGCAGCCGCCAAGTACAAATTTCCATACATGGGTCTGTGAAGCGAGATCGGTGGATTGGGTGCTGGAGTTGTGAGTACTGGGTGTTGCGGCGTGGTGTGTGGAGGGTTGGGTAGACCTGTTGCGTGTGTGAGTCTTGGGGATATGGGTTGAGGGTGGGGGGTTATGGATGTGGGGTTATGGATGCGGGGTTATGGATGCGGGGTTTTGTGTACTGTGCTGGTGTAGTGGGATATAGAGAGCATCATTGAACAGTGTTTTCTTTTCTTGGTACATTGGTACTGGGCGTGTGAAGTCGATATGGAATTTACGGGTTAATCACTTACAACACTAAGTCACACTTGCGAACTCTTTTTTTCTCTAGTGAAGTCAAAATTCTATTTGATATAGTGATGGCTGGTACCGAAGCCTGCGGGCTGGAGAAAAAGTTGGCGTAATTTGCTCAAAACTCTAATGAAAGCCTTGAGAGAATTCATATTACCTGACTTTGCTTTGAGTAGAGCCAATTCTCCAATGTAGAAGGATAAGGCTTGAAAATGAGGTTCTGCTTGCGAAAGTAATACTCTATGTTCTCCTGAATTGGGGAAAAAGGAATACCATGTGTTGCATTACAAACTGATCTCCCAAGTATCAGTGGGTACATCGAGTGAAAATTAGACTCAACTGACCAGTGTACGCCTTAAATGATTGTCACTTCAACTTCGGTGCCACAGTCAACCGCTTCACCTCCACTTTGTCTCATAAAGAGGCCTACTCGCAGATAGGGCTGCCGTAGCGTATAGACTGTTTCCGTCCGTTGCGGTATCCCATCTTTAGGGACTTCACCAACGCATTGGGCATCTACGGCCTTGCAGAATGATGCTTCATCCTCCGCATCATCCGTTTCTGAGAACAACACAAGCCCATACATGCCGTCATCTCGACCGATATCGAAGGTTTTGAGCCGTTTCCGAATGTCCTCTTTTCTTGAAGACTCGCCGTCTAACTTCCAGTCGAAAGTGCATGAAATTCCACCACCAAAGCATTCCCGGGGCCAGAAGATTCGACTATATCTGTCGTCTTCCTGATTCTTTGTTGATCCGTCGTAGCTTGTGTTTAGAGGAGGAAGCGACAGACGTCTCATTACTCCCCTCAGGGTGATGCTAGACCCAGGTTTGACGGCAACCATAGCATCAGATCGAAGCGGAGGTAGATTCCATCTGAGAAGCTGAAATTGTTGCTTGAATATCGAGGGAAATCGGTGGTTTACTGAGCAATCTCGAGAGGCCCAGCTCCATGATGGCGCACAATACGTTTCGGTAGCTGTAAGCGACGCTATCATGTGTTCGAACGTGTCGGCAGGTTCGAAAGCATCCCAACAGAGCTGTTCCATCAAGGAACCTCCAAGCGCATTAGTGTATGGATAAATAGGATCGCTTTCAGTGCTGCTTGTGTCATGCCACAATCCAGCAAGGTACTCGACAGGTTGACCGATCTCCCTTGCTGCCTTGCTAATTAGTCGTGCCACACCAGACACCGCACTCAGACGATCGCCGCGATACGTGAGATTCTTGCTTGAGTACTCATCAATGTTCCACAAGTGGCGGTCGAAATGGTCCAGTACACCAGCCTGTTGGCCATAAGGTGATTGTATGCCGCTCTCCATCAATGCCAGTTCACGACATTGCATTTGTAACATCGTCTCGCCGAATATCAGCAACCGCGTAGCTAACTTCTTCTCCTGATATACCCAGGCACGGCTGTTCCATCTCGAAGACTCGTAGTCGACGCGTATTTGTTCATCAGACTCTAGATATAGTGTGTATCCGCCACGAACATCCGGGCTCAACATTGACTTGAATGGGATGGTTATATTTGGTTTGCTGGATCGCCGGAGGAACGAGGCATCGCAAGCTGCACTAGCCGCAGCACCGATGGTGACATGTGCGTATGCAAAGACGTAGGACATTTGTGAGGACTCTCGCTCCCAATCTGCAAGATCGTCCTGGATGATGCAAAGGGCGTCGATCCACAGGTATCGAAGGCCAAGCTTACGAGCAACTAAAATAGCTTCTTGGAAGACTATAGGAAGATCATTGACTGAGATTATCGCTTGGCGCGCACCAATTGTCTCTGAGGTCGTGGTGAACGGCACTGCAGAACCCCAACAATAGCTTAGCGCTGCATATTTTAAATCTAGTTTTGATTCCGTCTCCAAGCGTGATTCCACATCATCCAAAAGTACCACATGATTGTCTGCAGGCTCTGGGCCGAGGTCTAGGAGGCGCGTTGGGATGAAAGATGGCTTGGACGAGTCCACGGGAGTTTTACAACTCACGTGATTTTTAAGACAATCACCCAACCAATTTTTCATGCGCGTGACATTTCCCGAAGATAATGGACCTCTAACGTCAAAGGGAGACCTTCTAATATTGAGCCAGTCACGACAACGTCCTACTATAATTCAGTCCTGTCGCAGTAGAGAGCAACCAAGAGGTGATAGGACCTACCAAAATCCGCTGCTACTGGGAAGTAGAACAAACCAGCACGATCGAACTCTAGGCCAGGATGCCAAGTGATTACAGTCACTCCCTCTAGTGAATACTCTGGTTCCTCCGACTCCTTCGAACGCGATTCCCATTCATACCGTATGAAGTGCTGAAGAAGTGAGCCTTCTTCTCGCCACCAGGCAGAAAGTGATTCCCACTCATATCGTATGGAGTACCGAAGAAGTGAGCCTTCTTCTCGCCACCAAGAAGTATCTTGATACCTCTTGATGAATGATTTTTTGAGCGCTTGACAGAAGACACAAGTCTGAGTGTTACCGACGCTTTGCGACGATAATTCATCGAGGTTGGGTAGCGTAGCGGTGCGTTCTAGTCCCATACTTGCCACAAGATTGGGGACATCCGTATCTTCCGGCCTTCTTAGGCAGTATTCGTAGGATTTTCCTAGGCTTGAAAACGTCGTCCAGTCGTCTGCCTTGAAACGTGAAAGATTGAGCGTCGGATGGCTTGAGGATACGTTCACAAATCCACCGGCCCGTGCATCGTCTAGGATCAAAGCCTGCAGGCAAAGCCTACACAAAACATCTTCTCGTCTGTTACTCATGAGGACTATCGCTCGTTGTTGTGAGCAGCTAGATTGGTGTCTAGCCTAATTTGGAATGAGGCGTTTGTTGTTTTAGTGGGATTCGAACGACCAAAACTCTTTAATAACAATTTTGAGTATGATTCGATGTAGTATCGGCGCCGTGTAACGAGGTAACATTTGACGACTCGGATAGTACAACGTACGGTGTATATTCGAGGTAGATCTGGGAGGGGGTGGCTGGACGCTGCACCTGTTATTCGTTATATGCAGTGACGTAAGCTGGTTGGTTTGACGGCAGAAAATCTTGGCTGTGGCTGCTACGTTGCATATGTAGGCTCCACCTTGAAAATACACCACTGAGGTACCGCGTCAGTGTAAAATACACTAGGTTAGGTAAAATTACACTACGTATAAGGGTAAATTTATACTTTTATACTATATCTAGCTAAATTTACCTAATATTCTAGGTAATTTATACTAATATTAAAAGATTTATATACTTTATTACTTTTAAATTACTACTATATAAGAAATCTTTATAAAGAGAAAAAAGTAGAATAAGTAAAAATAGACTTTTATTTATAATTATTATATAATTACTACCTTCTTCTTTTAAGCTTTAACTAAATTATATATTCTAGTATAGTACCTAATAAATTAAATACTATATTAAAGCTATATTACTATAAGTAAACTGTTTATAGGTAGCTTAAAATATAACTTTATACTAGTTAATAATAAAAAAGCTCTTACTTAACCTAAATATACTAGACTAGAAAATAATACTATTAGAGTTATACTTAGTAGTAAAAGGTATAATAATTAGGTTTTTACTATAGTTAAGTAAGTACTAAGTAGCAGTGTTATTACTTAAGTAACCTACTATACTAGTATAATATAAAAAGAATATTATAAAGACTATATAGCTATACTTAGTACTAGTCTAGAAATCTATAATAATATAATATTAATTATTTATAGCTAGGATACTGTTTAGACTGTATAAGATACTTAAAGTAAAGATATTATAGTAGTATATATTAAATAAGAAAAAGTAAGTTCTAACTAGAATAGCCTAAAGTTACTATTAGAAGTAAGCTATAGTTCTAAAAGTATTAGGTATTAGTAGTATAGCTATATCTAAGCTTGCTTTATTTAGAGCTATAAGAAGACCTACTTTATTATTATTATATATAAATATATAGTTAGAGGAGACTTATTAGTAGCTATTAATATAGTTATCCTGTAAACTGTAATTAGTATTATTAATACTAAAAGTAGAAAGTTAGATTAAGGTTAGCTTATAAAGTAAGGTAAGTAAGATATATAGTAGATACTATTATATAAGAGGTAGTAGTAGAGGTCTTTATACCTATTACTATAAGTAGAGAGGTAATTAGGACTAGTATAGGTATAAAGGTAGATAGTAACTAATTAATTACTATTTAAACAGAATATAGAAACTGTAAATAATAGAGGATATAATTAAGAATAGCTATTTCTAAGTTAAAAAGATTAAAAGGTTAAAGTTAATAAATAACTACAGATAAGTTAAAGTAGGTAAAGGTATATAAGAGTAAGGTTATATATATATAGGCTAAGCTATAGTAATATTTAGTTATAGTAAGAATACCTATAATTTTAGAAATATTAGCTACTTAAACCTACCTATTTAAACAGTATTTATTAAGGTTATAAAAAGAAAAACCCTATATAATAGTAGTTAGTAAGTAGCGTTTACTTAGGCTATTATATAAGTTATACCTATTATTATAGCTTCTACTTTAATATAAAAGATACTAATAAACTTAACTATTTATAGACGCCTAGAGGTTTATAATAGTAAATAACGTACCTAAAGATAATTTAATAATTAATACTTTATATTAAATAAGATCTACTTTATTAGCCTTATACTATAATTCTAGATACTAAGTACTAATAATAGTAATATCCTACGTAATTCCTAGAAGAGGCAGGAACTCTATATACTAACTATAATAGGAGTTAGTATAGTTATATATAATTATCTTATATAGGGTATCTAGTAAACTACTATATTAACTCTATAATACTAGTTACTAAGTTTAAGCCTAATAAGAAGTTTAAAAGAGAGTAAGCTATAAAGTAGTTAAACTACTTAAAAGATACTAAATCTAAATAGAAATAATTATACTTACAGCCCTATTATAAATAATATAGATTACTTACTATTAATAGAAAAGTATATAGTAAAAAATTAAATATCTATACTGCTTAACTTATTACTATTATAGGCTCTTTTATTATAGAACTTTATAGATAATACTCTATATAAGTAAAGTATATTATCCTAAGTAATTAAATATATTTATAATATCTTAGTTCTAAGTAGCATTAATATATATTAGCTACTAGTACTATATTATATTAGTATAGATATAGATAAGTATACTAGGCTTAAGGCTGTTACTATAGCTATAGTAGACGTAGTAGTAGTACTACTTACGCTTACAGCTATATATATACCTACTACTACAGTTACTAGCTTATTACTCTAATAACTTAAAACTATTAAGTCTATACTACTTAGTTTACTTATAATAGTTACTATAATTACTACTATAGTAGCTGTAGTTATAGAGCTAGTGCTATATTCTGCTAAGTATAGTATAGATTTATATATAGTATTATATAAGGCTATATAGTATACCTTTCTCTAAAAAGCTACTCTTAACCTTTAAAGTAAAGTCTTATAGTATTCTAGCTACCTTCTTAGATAGTAATATATAGGAAATATCTTTAGTATATATACTAGTAAATCTTATAAAGTCTATAGTACTTAGCTAATATTCTAATAGCTGTAAAAAATACGTAATTAATAAAACTACTACTACACTTATTACTACTTTCTACTATAGCCTCCTTAATTATAGTAGGCTAAAGTCCTATAACTTTATATAAGATAAGATCTACTATTCTACTACCTATATTATAAATAATAAATCTATTATTAATTATAAACTAGGTATCTTATACTATACTATGTAAAGTCTTAAAGTATATAATACAGTAGACTCTAGTTTTATTATAATAATAATATCCTTAAGTTAAAGAAATTCTAATAGGTTAAAGCTAGCCTTTTTAATAGCCTAAAGTATATAGTCTTTTATAATATTAGACTAGACTACTAGTATAGTTACTACTAAAGTAATAGGTAAAGATCTCTAAAGCACTTTTTTATACTTTTTATTAAGATTCTTAATTAAATAAGCCTTTACCTATATAAGAAAATCTATATACTAGTATAGAAGTAATTAATAAAGTCCTCTAAAGTACTTTTTTATACTTTAAGTTAAAGTACTTAATTAAGAAAGCCTTTAGCTAAACTAGAAGATCTATAATAATATTAACTAGTTACTTATATACGCTTTAAGTAAATATAGAGAAAATCTTAGATATATATTCTATCTATTAGCTATTAAGCTAAAGTTCTATCTTCTAAGACACTATATTAAGCCTATAAAGACCTAGTTTATTTATTATATATATCTAAATTATCTATACTAGTCTTAAATATATTACTATTATCTTAGTTATTCTTATTACCTTTAGTATTCTTTCTTATATAACCTAAGTTAGTAGGTATAAGGTAATTATTTTAAGATAATATAGCTTTTAATAATATTATACGTTTCCTACTACTAGATTTAATATTAGATAGCTTAGGGATTTCTTTTATATTATTACTACTAGAGTCTTTATATATATTAAACTAACTATTAGCCTAGCTATACGTATTATATATATTATATAAGGTCTATTATAACTTTATATTTAGTTATAATTACCTTTTCTAGACTAATAATTTAAATTTCTTTAAAATTACTATATATTATGTAGTTATTAAGAAATCTATTACTAAGAAGTAGAATATCTCTAATACTAATACATTCTATAAGGTTTTAACCTTTAGCTATATATCTTATAGAAAGATATCTCTTATATTAGAAATCTGCTAAGCTTTATATATATTACTAATATACTTACTAGCGTTTACTAATACGTAGTTAGGTACCCTATATAGTAGTTAAGAACCTAGTTAGGTATCTACTTTATCTATAGAATAGTTATCTTTAAGTGCCTATAGTAATCTAGTATTTCTACTAAGCTAGCTATTCTAGACTAAACGTTAATAATCTTATAACTTTTATAATTTTGTACTAGAAAGGTATATAAGTAAAGATTTAACGTTATTTAGCTTATTTATACTAAACTAGGTAGTAGATATAGTAGTTCTATAAGAAACCCTCTACTCTACTAGAAGATAACTAGTAATAGTGTTTAACTACTGCCTCTTTAATTAGAATAGGTATTTCTATATTAGCTACCTATTTAGATTATATAAGCTGTAACTACTAAGATATATACCTTTATTAGAATATAAGGTTATACTGTATAAAAGTACTAAGTCCTTAAACCTATTATAAGGTTTAGCTCTAGGCTTATTCTTATATACTAAAGAGGTTAGGAATAGCTCTATATATCTAGAAGTAAAGCTTAATATTAGGGAGTATACTTTTTTAGTTTACTTATATATAAGTAGCGCTATTAGTTAACTTAAGTTTAGTAGGTTACTTTACCTTTTAACTATAGCTATTTTATCTTATATCTCTACCTTAATATATTCTTTACACCTCCTTTAGTAAACTTTAGTAAAATATTAAATATAGAGTAACCTCTTATATAAACTAATATAATATAATAATTTACTAGCCCTAGATACCCTTAGTTAATAATTAATTAGAGGACCTAGAACTTCTTTATATAGGTTAGGTAACCTATATATAATTTAGTCTTCTTTTTCTTCTACTAGTCTTCTATATTAGTATAATAAATCTTATATAGGTTCTAGTAAACCTACTCCTTTTTACTTAAGTAGTAGCTTTCTTATAGTTTATCTATATTATCTATAACGCCTATTTAATTAGCTACCTACTATTAAAATACTTAGATATAAATAGCTAGTACTATAATATAGTATTTTACATTATTATAAACTACTCTGCTATAAGGTTATTAAATTTATAAGTATTCTCTATACGCTATTATAAGTTATATACTAAATAAACCTGCTACTTCTAATCCTTCTCTCCTTAAGCTATAATAAATTTAAGATAGTTATACTTTAAAATAAGAAGTTCTATATATATAGTAATATAAGCTACTAGAAGTTTAAAGTTACTTAATTTAGGTTAA